TCTATGAGTTAGTTCTGAAAGAAAATACTGCCGAAATATTTCGTATTCGTTTGATTTCCTATCAGTTGGTATGGTAACGCGGGTGCCATACTAAAATGATTATTGCGACTGCGTCAGTCGGTAATAGTCCTCTGAACTGTTCCATAAAACATGTTTATCTCAACTCTCATTAGGTGTGCATGAAAATGGCAAATCCTTCAGTGACTAAGTGGTATATTACGAAATTGATCCTAGTTATGTAGATATCATTTTTCAATCTTATTTTAAAAATATACGTTTTAGTGATTTTGTTTATCTATTCTATATATATATATATATATTCTTTATATAGGTTTATGATTAAAAAATGCTTTTAATTTCACTAATTCATTCCCTTACGTTAAAAACTCAGTCTATGGTTCTAACGATAGTTGGACTTATTCATTAATTACAAGTGTACGTTCTTAGGCTTCGAATGACTTGTTTTGTGAAAATGAAAGACAGTATTCAACTGTCCCTATTAAAGTAGGCGATGCACTTTTAGTGCTTGGGAATGAAACCTGATGCTTCAGGCAGCTAGCAGACGCTTTACTGCTTATGTGGTCAATCAATAACTTATTATTGGAAGTTTTGTTTAGATGTCTTTATATCTTTCTTGATGTAGTACATATTACTAATTTGATTTTTATGATGAATAATTCAGCTTGTCTTGATTTTTCTCTTTTAGTTGTCAGAGAAATGAAAGGAGCAAATCATATGCAACAAGTATCGACATCTGAGAAACCTACAATTGCAATTATCACTAATTTACTTTGTGAAAAATTAGCTGTAGATGCAATGATGGAACAGAAGACAACATTTGTTCGCTATAAATCTGAGGGTAATTACACGTATATTTATACATCCCAATGTTTTCCTTTCTATTATTTTAGGTGAATCACATGTTTACACTATTGGGAACATAGGACCACATAAAGTCATTTCCACAAAACTACCCATGGTTGGACGTGAACTTCAAGCGAAAATTTCCTCTGGGAGCATTACAACTCGGTTGCTTGGTTAGTTTACAAATTATTTATTTGTTCTCCCGGTCAACAGGATCAAATGTTTACTCTTACTTTTTACTAGATAAAAATAGGATATTTGTAGCTCAATTTTGGTTTTGAAGTGTTAAGGCAGTATCCTGAGCTTTGGGACAGTAATTGTTATTCATATTAGAGTAGACAAATACTTCAAATACATTTTCTCTCTGGATAAAACGTTTGTAAAACCGCTTATCGGTTTTCTACGCTTTATAGTACTCATTGATCCTGTCCTAACCGTACAAATAACTAGTGAACTGACGTTCTACATCGTAGGGACAATGTTATATTTCTTAATTTTTATTTCTATAATAAACATGATTCACATTCATTTTCCTAGTATGCACTGTTATTCACGTAAAATTATTCTCTCATTTTGCAGACACAACTTTTTAAAGATTAGTTTGTGCTTAATGTTGTTTTTTAGTATTGTTTGATGTGGTAAAAACTATTTTTATAGACTTTCAGTATGTACGGGTTATTATTCATTTTCTTGTGCATTGCAATAATTCCTATATTTCCAATACCTTTTCGTTCGAAATATCTGTTTAGATGATCATTCGTACATTTAAATGAAATCAACCGCTTTCAGTGTTGTCATACAGCTATCACAACAACTGATCATTTAACAAACATTGTCTATTTCATCACATTTCAGCTTAAGAACTTCACTGACAGATTTTCTAACATAGGAAATAGTTACAAATGCAAAAACACGATAAGATCAAGTTTATGAAAATTCTTATCATTATTTAGTTGGATTATAAGATCACACATTACAACCATAATGTTATGCAAGTGTTGTGAAACGGGACTGATACATCAGTACTGTCGACTTTCAACAACCGTCTTTTAGTAAGATTCAAACACTTGGAAACGATCGTCTTTTCTAATTCATGCATTCTGAGTTCATTTACTATACATTGAGGAGTAGGGGATGAACTTTGATTTATTTGTGATAACTTCGTTAACATAACGCACATGCTCCGTTTAATACAAATTTATATAGTCTTTTGATGTAATTGATTCCTCCGTAATATTTTATTGTTAAAATAAACACGGCGTTCATTCTAAACCAGATAATTTCACTCTATAAACAAATAAGTTCTTCATGATTTATTTGCAAGCGAAAAGGTTTTGCTAGGTAATAAATGTCTCTCAATAACCAATATGCGTAAATACAGGTAATTGAGATAAAGGTACATTAACGGAAAAAGATAATCCTTATCTGTGATTGTATCTTCCTACTGACAGTATTTTTCATCTTTTTAATGTCTACACTCCACTATTATATCAGAATGATTATTTAAAGTCATCAGCTGTCTTGTGGTATTTTCGTATCATAATCAGTCAGTCACAACGTAGAACTTCGTACGTACGTACATCAGTTCGAGTTGCCATACCACGTTAGCACAGAGATACAGTTGTCGATTCAAATCCCATAGTGGTAGAAGTAGTAAGAGTATAAGCATTAATGTGAAAGATTAGGATATCATAATACAGCTGTGTGGTTTATTAGAAATAAAAGTTGTTATATACATCACTGTCTATGGTAATTAGATATAGTTAAAACATGTAATTCGTCAAATATACATGCTTTTTCATTGTCTAGGGGCATTCCAAGCGGTGCAACATGTATTTCTAGTAGGAGTTGGGGGTAGCGTACCCCACGTATACGAATTTGAGAAACATTCTCGTCTAGGTGATATTGTAGTAAGTGCTGTGGCACGTTCAAGTGGATTGCATTCTTCAGCTATGAACAATCATACAAATCATTCTGTATCAAATGGTGTAGGAGACTCTATCTACATTTACTGTGATCGATTGATTGAACCTCCAGAAGATGCAGTTGATATGAAAACACCAAGATTTGTCTTAAGAAAGTACGCTGCTCGAGATCCGACTTTAGTGAACTGTGTAGAGAAAGTTCTTGATCGCTTCGAAGCAGCTCCAGAAAAATGTGAATGGGATCAGATTTTAAAGACTGCTTTGACTGTACTAGGCGGGGAGGACGATCCCATTGATTTTGCTCGACCGCCGCCTGATACAGACAAACTAAAACTTAAAGTAAGTCCCATAAGTGTATTTATTAGATAATAGTTTCTGATGTTCTGTTGATGCTCACTTTGTTCCTACTGCTTAAATCTCCTTTAAACTTAATAGCTTTTATGAAGAATACTTCGAGGTTATGCAAATTCACGGTGATGAAACGGGATTGATGAGAAAATAGTTAAACCATTACAATTGGAGAAAGTTCTATGGACAAATCGCAATTCTTTTAATTAACATTCATTCATGTTCTTGTTTGAATTAAAATAGATAAGGTCATTATCAGTCTAATCGATTAATTCGTGTCGCGTGACCATTCACCTACCTTTCGGTATTTTAGTAATGTAACCTACCTATAGATTATTTTTGTGAAAGAGATTTGATGCCACTATGCATCGTGCGCGAACTACTTTCACAGAATTGTTATTAAACTAAGATATTGCGTTAAGTCTAATGTGTTTGTTTTTAGTTTGAATGGAATGTTTACCAAGATTAATTAATAGAAACTGATATACTAAACTTTAACGATCATGCTTTATACAGATCAACGAAGGTGTAACATTCGACATCAAGCATCCGGATGTGCCCGAGGAACTGGCGCGTTTCTATCCACCAGGCGTACCAGCCGTACGCCTTGGTTGTATGGGATCTGGTAGACCAGTTACGGATAATGACGCATTGATGAGTGACTTTGCTAAAGAACACCACTTACTGTGTTATGATGCTGAATACGACCAAGTAAGTTTGGCACTGTTCCTAATTTTCTTTGTTGTTAGTCATATGGTACACATGTTAAGCTGTTCTTTCAGATGATTGGAGCGATGTACAATTAACTTTATTTTCTATATCTGATTTAGGTTTTGGAGTCCGTTATGGGAAATGGCCTTGACTCTTTTATTCTTATCCGTGGAATAGCTGACTATATGGAAGGTAGACAAGGTACACAGTGGCAACCTTATGCAGCACTTGCGGCGGCATCTTTTATGAAGTCTATAATTCTACAACTGCCTCTTATTCCAATTAACGAAGATTGAAGGAAGAGCTTACTAGAAAGTTCTTATATGCTTGATATAAAGACTACGTTAATAATCTAGGTTAATTCATCATACATCACCTCTTGTACAGTTCGATATCTCCCACAGACATCAGAATGATTGCAACATACATAACTTTCCATGCAACTTTATTTTTCATCACAGTTATTGCCATGTATTGTATGATATAAATATATTTAGTATCACTATCATTTTGATTTTTAAATTTTATTCATATGCTGAAGCCAACGAAACATTTTACAAGAACAAAAGTAATTAATAGTAAGCTTTTATGGAGATAGTCATAGTACGGTACTCGGGTTGCTAGGGTAAAAAGAGGGAGACAAATCATGAACTGTTTGAACATATTACTGAAAATTTAAATACATTTAATAATAAAGCATTACCAATCCTAACAGTAAAGAGACTGTGAGATTTATCATTTCTTCATTTTGTTTTATGTACTAAGTGTTACATGAAAATTGAAAACCACCGTATAAAATCAGGAGCCAATAATACAAAAAATGTAACTAGCTTGGATGTATTTTGTATGTGATTTTTGAAATTGTTTTGCTGATTACATCTGAACTGTACATTAAACGAAGTCGCAGAAATAATTTACGATAATAACTGGAAAGACGGGTTGTGATTGTTTTCGAAGCTACGGGGGAGGGGTAGTTAGTTGACCGGTTGGTAACATATACAAGATTGTGTTGATGTGATTGCTTATATAACTATCTCTGTATAGAAAAATACACGGTATGAACTTCTGATTTGCACAACAAGCCTGAGAACGTATGATGAAACTGTCAAATGCGTATATTGATATGGCAGCTTCATGGGATTGAACGAGCGTTCATGTAAGTGAATATACAGGTGCTAAGATAATGAAAATGAAAATACATCTGTAACTTAAAGTCTAATATATATGAAATACAAAACGACAGTGCATTCAAACAAAGTAAGCCATATGGCGGTGGATATTGGTCAAGAAACTCGAGATGGTGTTCATTAAATAAATTAGTTTACCACCACATTTAACATAACTAAATATAATATTGGCCCATACTAAGGTTTGCAGATCGACATAACGCTTGTTAATTTATCACGTAGAGGGATTTACGAACCTTTAGTTCTTACAATAATTTGAGTATTTAAGTACACCCCTCACATAATCATGCGAATAATACGATTTTTTGAGAAGCTTGGAATCAATCCTTGAATTCCATTCAATATCACATATAAGAGACAATAAGAAATGCAAGCTACGTTTTTTTTATAAAGCAGTGGTATATAGCTAGGGTCAAGATGAAAATGGTGAATAGTTGCCACATATTTTATTAGTTAAAAGTTTTACAATTCGTATCAACGAAACTTCAGTACTGTAAATGGATTAATTATCGAATATGAAATCCTAATGATCAGTCTATTAATGCGAATAACGTAATAGTTCCTTATTTTCAGCTCAGTGTAACTTTCCAAACAACAGATTCATGCAACACACTTGCGAACTCTAAACTCATGAATGATCATTTTTGTATGTACTTGTTATTTTAGCGGATTAACACTGACTGCAGAGATAAGACTGATTGACAAGGAAGCGCAATATTAGTAAAAGTATGGAGACGAAAAGAGTTCAGTGTCAATTACATGTTAAAAATATATACAGGGTATGTGAGCGGTTACAAACAGGTAACGTTTAGTTATACGGTAAGATCGGCGAAATTGAATGTTCATTTCTTGTACAAATCAAGATATTTGACGAATACAACAGACGATGGACGCAAGTGTATTGTTTCGATAATTTAATGTTAACTTCACATTTACACGTAGTTTTTTTTTGGTTACTTAACATAATTTGAATCTGATCTTTCCATAAACAACTACAATACTCCTAAAATCTAAGCAACAAATTTCCAAGCTTCTCTTAAATACAAACTAATAATTTACTTCATATCAACTTTATTATAATTTATGTCTATTATGGATTTACAGTGTGATATAATTACCCATCACAGATTGACTCAAAATGTGTTTTTACAGGTTTTTTCTGTTTTTCCTTCAATTTATTAACTGCACCAAAATTTCAAAGCAATCTGAGGTATGTTCTAAAAAACAATAGTATGCGTGAATGCTTACCGGAGGCCACGACTGCCTTGGATTTATTAGGATGGGAGGAACTCTGCACGACTGTGTCGCCAGTCTGAAGGACGCTGTCCACTGGAGCTAGAGAACGACGTACTGCTACCTGAAGATCCGCCGGAGACTCCTGATGATCCAGAAATCCTTGCAGATGCACCAACGACAGCAGCATTGTCAATTCCGAGGTTGGCAGTTTCGATGTCGAAGGTGCGCACAGCTTCGGCGTGGCGTTCCATCAAACGCCTTGTCTTTCTTCGTGACTCCTCCTTGGTTGACTCAGCATTTTTTTTCATCTAAAGGAAAGAAAAACTATGTGATAGGGTAGTTTGTAAAACAAAGTACATTTAAAAATGATGTACTTTACTGGAATCATTTAGAATTTCCAAGAAAGATTCAGGGATGATTTCCGGCATATACTGAATAAAATTGACGTGCAGTCATTTTTAAAAATTAAGATGCTGATTTCAATTTAACAATCATTAGTCTGCAGACTTTATGTACATTCTGTTTTTATCGCGAATTGCTATCAGCTGGAAAAATAAGACCGGGTATATAATTGTTCCCAGTTTCAAAGTCTTTAGTAGCATGTTTCTTTGTCATCATCACCCTGGACACTGAGCTACTACGAAGATATTACTATCTAGCTACTGTTTTATAATCGAATTTTTTTTCAGGTAAAACCTAGGACTAACGTAATATTTATGTAGCAAAAATCATTACAGAATGTCCGGTAAATTCGATGTCAATAAGCTCATTCTTGACAGAATTATCACTTCTAGATGAGATATAGCAATTCAAGATGATAAACAATGACCTTTGATAACACTTCAATGCACAAATTGTGGGTCGTCGCAACACTTGCTTGGATTCCATAACCTACCATAAAATTACGTATTCAATCACCGTCCAAATGTAAGAACTATATATATAGCCTCTGCCAGGGAAGTCCTACTCACTGCCTTCTCGTGGCGGGGGCGTTGTTTACGAAAGTGAGAGGACGAAAAGCGAATGTCCGGCGCTTTAACCGGGTTGGTGGACACGGAGGGTCCACCTAGGGGAGTTGGAAAACCCTGATTCCAAACCAATGGTGCACATGGGCTCCAGTATCCTGATGGAACGAATGGCGGAGGAACCTGTCATTGGTCAACGGCTACCATGGGACTGCATCTCCTCACGATGCTCCACTGCCTTGTGGATCAGACCTTTTGGTCAAAGGCTCCGGGTGTGGCCCCCTAAGAAAACCACCTGCTTCAGTCTGGGCACCTGGGCAGTATCACAGCCCTCACACAAATCGAATGAGATTTGTGAGGCGCATATTTATCTGGTGCTTCATTGTACCAATATTTATGTGTTTAAATAAATAAACTGGTGATATATATATATATATATATATATATATATATATAGTATTATTTATTTAATAATAAATAAATAATACTATATATATATATATATCACCAGTTTTGGTGGAATAAATTATTCAGTCTGCATGGGTCAAGAAATAGTAGGGCCATTCATTGGTTTCTTCCAAAAAAGAAGTCACGACTTTTAAAAGTGAAATAAACCATTAAATGACCATAGAACGTTGCGATTAATAAACCACAAAAACTAAATGAATATATAGGAAGCAGAGCGCTTCGCAACAACTGAACGCGTATAAAATAAAAACTAGACAACGCACCGCAGCTTCCAGTGATTCTTTTCGGGCACGAATTCTATTTTCTAAATCCTCTCTTTGGCGTTGATGCTGTTTGAGCATATCACGCCGTTGTTTTTCTTGAAAATTAGAGAGAATTTTGACTCCTTCTAAGCGACTTTCTTTAAATTCTTTATTCTCGCGAGCATGTGTTGATTCAACTTTATCCTGGAGGAGGTAGCAAATAGGTGATAAGGGAAATCATTTAAAGGTATAGCAAATAAGAAATAATTCTAAAATGCTGTTAGGAAATTCGTTTAAAACAATGGATGAAAAACACTAGACTTGGTTTGAATAGTTGTAATGATTTCTTATTCTGGCATTAAACTTATATTTTTATCTGACTTTTGTATATATATAAAGCATGCTTTCTGATTTTTTCAGCATTTAACCAATTCACTTCGAAGGACAGTAGCTAGAATATTATTGTTATTTAGCACAGTCAGATACATGACTAAAAACGATTAACTTGTCAAAATATTAAACATACCCATTGAGGTTATGGTAGATAAAACCGAATCATTTAGAATGATCTTTAATATACCTTCGTCATTTCCCTATGAGGTTTGATCCCGTCTCCTACATATAACGGAAGCTATAGGGACCTGAACCTATAACACCAGTTTATGTGTCCAGAAGAAATTTGTGACACCCTTGTCCCTGCTTTGGGTGGATATGATTAATTAAAGGGTTTTTTCACAGCCCGTAGTTTGTCATATTTCACCTTACCGTTTACATTCTTCAAAATCTAATTATTTATATACTTCTTATTACGCAATTTGTTTTGTGATTATTATTTATCCAAGTTTGACCTGCTTCCTCTGTTGAACTAGAGCTTTAGTTATTTTATTAACCCTATCTCTACTAGTACACCTGTTTTCTTACTACCAATTTGTACTTTTTACCTATTATTTGTAGTTATGCGATCTATTTCATTATGATGATTAACTAATAAATTGCCTCCATTGGTTTAATATTTTCATATGAATATCTATGTATATTAGAGTAAAGCTTGGTGGCAATTTAATTGAGAGCAATATTATTCACTTATAGATGTTGTTCTAATGCATTTTTAATGAGGTAAGGAATGGGATGAATTCACCACGAAATTCTGAGATTATCTTTTGTATTTTCTAAAATCTTTATCAACTTCAGTATAATATAAAAATAAATAAAATAGACGTATTATACTGATTATATCACTTACTTGGTATACACAACCGAGTATAGTATGCATCCCATATTACTTCCTTACGCCTGTTACCCTCAATGGAGCATAGGCGACTAACCAGCATTCTCCAACCCACTCTGTCCTGGGTCCTCTTTTCTAGTTACATCTAGTTGTTGTTCATTCTTCCCCAGATATAAAAAGGATTTCACATCCTCCAAAGTGACAGAAGAACCAGATTATCTGCGAAATCTAGATCGTCCAGCTGCATCCTTGCTGTTCACTGTATCCCCTCAGATGTTGACGTCTTGAGAATCGAGTCGATCACCAGGAGAAAGAGAAAGGGTGAGAGTAAGCAACCTTGCTTAACACCGATCTTTACCCCGAATGAGTCGGTGAGTTGTCCTCCATGGACGATTTGGCAGATTAATCCATCATAGGAATTCCGTATGATATTGACTATCTTCTCAGGTACGCCGTAGTGTCAAAGAAGCCTCCATAGTGTTGTTCTGTCTACGCCATCAAATGCTTTGTTGTAGTCAATGAAATTGATGTAGAAAGACTAATTCCATTCAATTGATTTTTCCATAATGATCCGTAGTCTTGCAGTTGGATCAAGACACGATCGATCCTTACAGAACCAAGTCTGTTGGTCTCGAAGTTGAGTGTCTACGGAGTCCTTCATTCTGATTAACAACCTGTTGAAGAATCTTCCTGGTATTGAGAGGAGAGTGATGCCCCCGTAATTCTCACGCTTGCTGAGATCACCTTTCTTTGGTATCTTGATCGGAAGTCCTTTTTTTCAGTTTGTTGGCACTTCCTTCTTCATTCCAAATCTCACTGAAGAGAATGTGGAGTATCTTTTCAGTTACTGCTACGTCTGCTTTCAGTGCTTCTGCTGGAATGTTCTGTGGTCCTGCTGCTTTGCCGCTTTTGATTTGTCTGATGGCCATGCTGATCTCTTCAATTGTTGGTGGGCCAACATTGATTGGGAGGTCCGTGGGTGCTGCGTCGATGTTGAGTGGGTTCAATGCAACTGGTCGATTTAAGAGTTCCTTAAAGCGCTCTACTCACCTGTTTCGCAGTTCTTCAATGTCGGTGATTACTTTGCATTCCTTGCTTTTCACTGGTCATTCTGGTTCACGATAATTTACAGAGAACTTCTTAGTTGTATCATACAATTGTCTCATGTTTCCTTCTCTTCTAAATGAAGATTTTCTAACTTCCACGACAGCTTAATTGGTTTGAATTATTTTTTCTGGTTAGCTTTTTTAGCGAGTTAGTTTTCTACGGGATGGGGTTGCTAACCACATGCCTAACCCTCCTCCTTTATCTGGGCTTGGGACCGACAGTAACCCCAGAGGAGCTACAGGCGGATAACTGACTAAAATTATACAGTAACTTTAATGATTGATTTACATTATTGGAAGGTAAGAGAGTGGACTTACATTTTGACGCTCATGTAGTTCACTAATACTTTTATTGTACTGTGCCTCTAAATCAGCCTGTTTACGTTTCTCCTCCAATTTAAGATTTTCCAAAATCTGGCGTTCATCTTGTAGATGTATAACAAGTTGACCTTGAAGATCAACAGAATCTGAGCAATTATTAGAATTTGATGACATTAACCCAGACGAAGTGCAGGATTCTGACGCTCCTGAAAAAGGTGAAGATCCTAATTCTGAAGTTCGACGTGCAGCCTTTAAACGCTCTTCACGTAAAAGTTTGAATTGCTTTTTCTGAATCCGAGCAGCATCACGAAACTGTTTACGAATTTGTAATTCTTTTTGCTAAACAAAGAAATAATACCCAATAAACCTAGCACACAACAATATACAATGTATCATACATAGTCAAAAAATATTTGTCATTGTTTCTGGGATAACCACGAGAATACCCGGTATATCAAAACTTCAGTTAACAAACGTAGGTAAAATTTACAAATAGATAATACAAAAGCACTGATGTAACAAGTCTAGGTCATTAAGTACATACTAGCATAGCAAGATGGAGTTAGAAGAAAAATGCGATTTTGAAGTGAAATATGACTTTTACAGAAAGCTTTCTGAACGTCTTCAAAGAGCCAAACACTCAGACATAGTACTCGTTGCAGGTGACTATAATGCCCAAGTAGGTAGCTTAAGTCAACCAGGAAGACACTTAGGTGGGTATTTTAGGATTCCGGCTCAGTGAACAAATAATGGTGACCGTCTACTGAAACTGTGCTCAGAAAATCGTTTATTTATAACAAGCACTAATTATAAACATAAAGATAGATACATCGTCTAACATTATTATTATTATTAATGGCTTTACTCATTAACATAGCGACCCCATGCGCCAAACCAATGATGGACTCAAGTAGACCATATTGCCATCAGTCATCGTTGGAGAGGCTTGATAGAAGACTGTCACTCATTCTGGAATACATGTTTAGACTCTGATCATGCTCTTATACGAGCACGCATTTGCTTGTACCTCGTTGGACACAGAAAAGCCACATTAAGAAGATTCATTAGGATTGAACTCAGTGACGAAAAAGCCAAAAGTAGATTCCACGAACAACTTGGGCTAGTTTGAAAACAAGGATGACCCAGATGTTGCCTAGAAAGGCATACGAACAGCAGTGACATCTATCAGCGATTTAAATCAAACGGTTACGAAAAACCAATGGATTTCTACCACATCTATTGCACTGATGGATTCTCGTAAACTCATCCCATCAGGCTTTGAACACGATGAAGAACGAAAACAAATCAGATCTAGGTTACCCAAAAGTCTACGGAACGATCGTGAGCAGTGGTGGGCAACGAAAGCAAAAGCAATGGAGAAGGAAGCGGCTGTAGGCAACACTAGACAGCTCCTCAGACTAATAAGAAAATCTGGAATTAAGAAGTCAAGTGTGAGACGATCTCAGAAAACGATGAAACTTATTTGCTGTCAGCACAGGAGTCTAAGAACGATGGGCGGAATACTTTAGGGAACAGTTTAGCTGAACTTCAGCGAATCTACAGTTACCCACAATTCCCAAACAGCCTGAATGAAACATTGAAGTAGGTCCTTCGACTCTAGTTGAAGTTCAAAAAGATATAGCTAATCTGAAACGAGGAAGAGCGGCTGGTCCAGATGGATTGGCTCCAAAGATCTTTAAGTATGGTTGTTAGATCGGCATACAATAAACTCTATCAGAGCCTCCAGAGAGGCTCATAAAGAGACCAACCAATCAGCGATCAGTTAGAAGCTATGCTACTAAAAATGCTACTAAAATAACAAGGTCCTGATTGGCTGTTAACATATTGCTACTATGGAATCTCAAGGTCTTTCTAATTACTATAAAACCCCTGTTTTTTCTGTACATAATCGAACCTTGTAGTAAAGTGATTTCTCTGTTAATCGTGTCTTCTTACTGGTCTTTCAAGTCGCTGAGTAGTGCTAGCCTGGGGTTATCCGAATAGCTTAGGATCTGAATATAGCGTTCAACCCACAAGACATATCAGTGGCGACGGGGAAAAACCACAAGACATATCAGTGGCGACGGGGAAAAACTACAAGACATATCACTGGCGACGAAAAAAAAAATGACAATGAGTATTTCTTTAGAGCAATTTGAAGCTTATATGGAGCGTCAAGAAAAACGGTTTGAACAGTCTCAAATCAGAGTCATGGAAGCTCTTATGCAGAAATTATGTATGTCTCAACAAAACTCTGCTGCTGGTGAATTTCAAGTATCTCATACTGACTCAGTTATTAACGCAATCCATGAATTTAATTTTGATGGTGCAGCAGGTGTCACTTTTAACTCTTGGTTTAAGAAGTATGAAGATTTGTTTCATATTGATCTCTGCAGACTGGATGACGCTTCAAAAGTCAGAATACTTCTAAGAAAGCTTGGGACAACAGAACATGAACGCTATAGTAACTTTATTCTCCCGAAGAACCCACGAGACTTTAGTTTTGATGAAACAATTCAAACCCTGTCTCAAATCTTTGGAGAACAGTCGTCTCTATTTAATATCCGTTACCAGTGCTTGAAGATAACGAAAGAATCAGGAGATGACTGGGTGAAACATGCAGGTATTGTGAACCGAGAATGCGAGAGGTTCAATTTGTCTTCCATGTCTGAAGACCAGTTTAAATGCTTAGTATTTGTCTGTAGCCTGCGTTCACCTGAGGATGCTGACATCCGAACGAGAATCCTAAGCAAACTTGAGCATTGTCCCAACATGACCCTGCAGGAAGTGACTAATGAATGTCAAAGGTTAGTGAATTTGAAGCACGATACCTCGATGGTAGAAAACACTAACCAGTTCCTCCACGTTAATGCTGTTGAGAGGAAAGTCGAGCAAGGTTCCAGTATACAGAATTATCGAAATGATTGCGGTAAACCATCATCCCCATGCTGGTTATGCGGAGGTTGGCATTTCAAAAGGTTTTGTCCGTTTAAAAGTCATCGTTGCACTACGTGTTCCAGGAAAGGACACAAAGAAAGTCATTGCAAAACCCGTAAACGTCGTCAACCTAAAGTTTATTCTAAAAGATTCAAGCCACGCACAGCCAAGGTGACGGTAGCTGCTAACAGAATCGGCTCCCATAATCGTAGAAAGTATGTTTCCCTCAAGATTAACGGGTACGATGCCCGCTTACAGCTAGACACAGCCTCCGATATAACGCTTATAAGCAGGAGGACGTGGGAGAAAATTGGGAGGCCGAGAATATTTTCAACCTATCAGACAGCACACGGCGCATCCGGGGGGATTATAAACATTGCTGGTGAGGTTCACTGTAAAATCACAGTCGCAGAGCTTACAAAGAAGGGAGTAATATTTTTGACAGAACGGCCAGCACTCGACTTATTGGGACTTGATTGGATAGAAAAGTTGAAATTATTAGATCGTCCCATAAATTCAATCTGCAACAACGGCACTATGTCGAAAGTTGGGGACCCAACATTGTTTCGTGGGGGAGGTTGAAGTCAGCAAATGCAGTCTGGATACCTACCCCGCTTCTTCAAAAAAAAGGGGAGGTGTTAGATCGGCATACAGTAAACTCTATCAGAGCCTCCAGAGAGGCTCATAAAGAGACCAACCAATCAGCGATCAGTTAGAAGCTATGCTACTAAAAATGCTACTAAAATAACAAGGTCCTGATTGGCTGTTAACATATTGCTACTATGGAATCTCAAGGTCTTTCTAATTACTATAAAACCCCTGTTTTTTCTGTACATAATCGAACCTTGTAGTAAAGTGATTTCTCTGTTAATCGTGTCTTCTTACTGGTCTTTCAAGTCGCTGAGTAGTGCTAGCCTGGGGTTATCCGAATAGCTTAGGATCTGAATATAGCGTTCAACCCACAAGACATATCAGTGGCGACGGGGAAAAACCACAAGACATATCAATGGTGATTCAATTTTAGCGATTAGTTTGACTAATATTTTTGCTAAAATTTAGGGACTTTACGTAATCCCATCTAACTGATTGCAATCACTGATCATCCCAGTATATAAGGAGGGAACTAAATCGTTCTGTGACAACCATTAAGAGATCGGTCTGACTAATATGGAATCTAAAATACTAGCTTCAATAATTATCAAGCGCCTAACAAAGACTCGTGAACTTCAAACACGAGAAAATCAGACTGGCTTCAGACCTGGTCGTGGCTGCATCGACTACATATTCACCGTTCGTCAGATTATAGAACACAGGCATGTTTACCGGCGTCCAACAATGGTGGTCTTTCTTCAATTAAAGGCAGTATTTGACTCAGTAGACCGAGAGGTTCCGTGGCAGCGTGTCATTGAGAGACGCACCTCAAAAGTACATAAACGGGTTCAAAAAGATCGTCTGGCTTTCGCCAAGCTACCTCACGTACGACGAAGGAGAGATATCTGTCTAACAGTAAAAGGACGAGTATACTGTACAGTAGTCCGCTCTGTTCTACTTTACGGCTGTGAAACATGGCCATTAAGAGTAGAAGATATTTGTAAGTTACTAGTATTTGACCACAGATGTCTTAGAAATATTGCTTGCATCTGCTGAAATCACCAGGTAAGTAATAGTGAGGTTAGACACAGGGTATTAGGGAATGATGGTAAACCGATTGGTGAGCTTGTGGATCTTCATCGACTGAGATGGTTGCGCCACGTGTTACGTATGCCCAATCACCGACTACCACGGTGAGCAATGCCAACTAGTGTTGGGGACGGTTGGGAGAAAGTTAGGGGCGGTCGAACCAAAACGTGGCATCAGTGCTTGTTAGTTATTTCCATAACTAACCAATCAAATCGTTGCTTAAGCTCCCATCACGTTAATCTGGTCTGATGTGTCTGTAAACTATTCCTGTTGCATGTGACCCACCAATTGAAAGACATTATTATCCTATTATATTAATGTGACTCATAAATTTTATTCATTTCGATAAGACACGCAATACTGGTCGGTATGTTTGTGCGTTTCATTTAACGACTTTAATTATTGTACTAATCTAATTGCTTTTATGTTTAGAAACATATAAAGTTTAAAGCCAAGTTGTCCTTTTTCTGACTATAGCTTTCACATAGACTCTGGGATCGCCAGTATCGAGTTTACAGTTCTAGCAGTATACTTGTAGGACAAATTAAATTCTACAGTGCTTGAAGTCACCAACTTCTGGATTGAGCTATGTCGGTAGATACAGACTACTTGGTTGGGCTCCACGCGACTATCGTAACCAATAGTTGGAGACTACTGGTGATATGGCTCAGAGTCGATCACAATGACGTAGGTGTATATACTCTTTGTCTCCCCTTAAACCGCGAGATTGAAATTACCTTATATCCTTCTTTCTACGAATCAATTCTTTCTGCCTGCATCAGATCCTTATATGCAATCTTTGTTATATATATATATATATATATATATATATATATATATATATATATATATATATATATATATCATTCGAGTAACTGCTACTATGAGTTTGGCGTTCATCTTGTGCTAATGAGGTATGGCAACTTGGATTAATGCATATAATATGTGCCTGGTCTTACGTTGTAGCTGACTGACTGACTGACTGAGTAGGATATGAGGATTTGAGCCGATGCCTACATGTCCCGCATTCTCCGTTGCATATAGCTGACTGACACTGCAATAGGGGGCGACTATATGATCAAAAGCCGTATATAAGGGTAATCATTAACAAAGTGTAGGATAAAAGGGATTTTTCATTATACAAGTATCATGAAAAATGTCTGTAAATCAGACTATTCGGCAGAAAGATATCACACGTATATACAAGCTAACCTTCAGATATTTTGGTAGATTCTTTGTTTCTTCACAATGTCTCTTTTGTAATCCAACCTCAATGCGTTTAAAATACTGATGCAAATTTTCCATTTCGGCTTCATGTTGACTTTGTAGCTGATTAATGCGTAGGTCTTGAATCCGTTTTAACTGATTAATCTCTAGATTTTCGAGTTCTGTGTGCTGTCTAAGTAACAACGACGTAATCTCTTCAGCTGCCTTCTGTTGTAAGCGTATATATTGTCGTAATTGTTCCATCTAGCGTAAGTGCAAAGAAAGTGACATAAAGAAAAATAGATAAACAAGTTAGGACTAGGAATAAATACTGTACAATCCAAGTTGTTCCATTTTTAACACTAGTAAGCAGTAAAACGAAATAAACAACGAAAAAAGTAAAGGTGTAGAAATAATCACGATTTTACCAACAGTACAAGTCAATCAAAGGAGAAAAGGAAATCATAATTAACGGAAATAATGATATGGTGCTAATTCGAATTAAGAGTGAATGTGTTTGATGTTAACTTTTTTGAACAGTATCAATAATGTATCCAACATAAAATCACAATCCGAGCTGACAGGTAGCGTTACTACCACTGACAAAAAAGGAGGTGACCACAGGTCTAACGAAAAAAGAGAAAACTAAACTTGTCAAGAGTTATATGGAAAAATTTCGTCGAGAAGATTTGAAAGGTCTGGATTTGACTAACCAGTTAAAATCGACAACGGACAATTCAGTTGGGTAGTACCGTCTTAAATTGGCTGTCTTAGTCTTCTTATAATTTATTACTATATGAAGTCAGAATAACACTTAGGGTTAAGGGATGGTTGGTCACGTGCGGTAAATGTCTAAACCATCTCAGTCGATGAAATGCTTGTAACGACGACGACTGATTTATCAGTTTTATCTAACTTTTAAGACAAATAATATAACATGCTATATTATTTCAGAAAGGGAAAGACGCATATGACTTAAAATCTAACAGTATTTCTACATTCAAAGTTGGTACACGCTAGAATTAAGTGGTTTTATGCACCGTATAGAGGCTCAATTCGTCTGTAGACCTGATATGATTGTGATTCTTGTTCAACATTACTCTCGCTTTTGTTTTAATATGATGATTATTCAGTGGAATATTTGTTTTACTTTCAGTGTGATATTTTATTCAGTATTACATTGATTTCTTTAAGTGTGATATTTATTCTAGATTTGGTATTCTTTGTAATAAATTAACGCGAACTATGTTCAGCATAGTATACAGAATGCAATTTTGTTATAATTTCATTTGTGACATTTCCCTCGTTAATAGGTGTACAAATCAATGTATAAATAAATGTATTTACTACTAGGGTCGTGTCTATTTTACAGTTCGCGTCAAAGGTTCCTCGCTTTTCAAGTACAGGCAATAGGCGACGCGGATACAACAAGATCCATTATTAAAACTCATACTTTATTCTTCTCGTATCTTCTCTTTCATAACTCTTGGAGTTACTACACTATTATGTAATTTAGTAAACGGGTGGTTGTGAAGTTAGTAAAATGAGTTACATGAATGGAGACTAATAATAACACATGGCTAATTAATACTAAAGTGTTGAAATCACAAGATTTCGAACTTCGTTTGATGGATTGCATAATACGACGTATTTTTAAACTCATTATAATCAATCAAGAAATTAAAAAAATGGTAACTATCACCTTACCTCGATATCTTGTAACTGTGTGAGGAGAATACGCTTTGTCTTACGCGTTTCCAATGTGGACACATCATGCCGTCGCTTCCGAATAGCCTCTAACGGGTTGGAATGTCCACTGGAATCTGATTCATGTGAACTAAAAGATCCAAATGGAGATTTTTTGGCCGACTTTAGTTCACTTTTCGTTTCAGTTTCAAGTTGACGTGCTAATTTCGATTCAACTGACATTGCTCTTTTGCGCTCTTTTTCTACTTCTGCGGCATGGATTTCTTCTAATCTCATGAATTCTTTTCTCATTGCTAACTTTGTTGCTTCATAGTCACGATTCAATCGTGATTTGAGTGATTCCTCCTCAACCTATAGAAAGAAAAACAACCCAAGACATTTGTATGTGACCCCAAAAACGATTTCAATCATTTATTGATGTTAATCAACCTGTACCTTAAATTGTAAATTTCGAAGCAAACATGATATGGAGGTTGGAATTTTCATGTTAACACCATACTGAGATTACAAAGAAACAGATCAAAATAAAAAACACACGACAACCTTTGTAACAATAAAATAATAAAACATATACAAGACTCATTTCATAAGGATAAAACTACTAAGCATAAACTGAATAAATAATTTCAGTATTTCAAACACCCTGAATCAGTTTGGTCTTTCATTAGAAGAACTAATAGTAATGTGTACAAACAGTACTTCAAACACACTTATATATTACAACATAAACTTATTATTAACAAAAAAAAGCAATTCCTTAAAAAAATAAGGGTAACCCAAACTAACAGATGACTGTCTGTTTTAGTACAAACGAAATAGGACAACTGGAAAATTCCCTAAGAAATTTAACTGTGACGGCTGAACTAATTTAAAATTCACAAAGTTTTCGTTATCGTACAAAACATAGGTCACAAAACAAATGCCAAATAGATAATATATTTGGACAAGTTAAAATACAAACCTTATTTTTATCTTCAACTTGTTTTAGATGTTTATTGTGTTGATTTCGAAGTCGTTTAAGCTCATTCATTTGATCACGCCAGTTAGCCATCCCTCTCCCATAGCCCTGTTGCGTGAAGCCAAGAGCAACAGCAGCAGTTGAATTCGAAGCACCTGGTTCTAAAGACAGACCCCTCATCATCTGGGTAGTTTTTAGTGTTGCAAAATGACCAGCAGAAGATGAGATGTCCGCTGGAGAGTTTATTTCAGCAGAAGCTAAACGGGAGGTTTCAGTAATCATACCCGAATCATTATGAGAAGTAATCGAGAACCGACTGAAGCTTTCAGTTTCTCCTTTAGTGATATCTGTCTTTGTCGGGGTAACAGAAGAACCCACAGTTTCACAGGTTGACCCTTCCCATAAGAAAAAAAGAAAACTTTTACAATTAGAAAATATCGATGAAATGTTTTAGCTGATAGACCGCATTCTAATTATTCTAATAATTAAATGGTGGAGAGTAGGAGTCAGATGGGGAGTACCACAGTAAGACGACACAGCCGTCCAGTGCTTCCGAATTTCCATAGTGGTCTAGCTTTAATTGAATTATGATCTCAACTATTGACATTACTATAATATCCACAAAACCCTTCTGATATAATTAAATGGTAAAAATGTGGAGTATTATGTAATTATGTGATGTTCAAACACATCTGCGAAAAAAAACGAACCTACGAAGACAACTTGTTTATTTAACGACGATTTATTTGTATTTCAGTGGTTGTACATAGATAGATTCCCAAATAACTGACAGAGCAGATGTCAGTCTTTTACTAAATTACTTGATTGAGACTGTCACCACTCATAAAAAAGCATAGGTGAATCACCAGGATTCTACATCGAACTTTGTCTCAGACAATCCTCCTCAGTTGTTATTCATCCTTTTCATGTCTGCTTCCAACTACCGGAGCAATGTATTCTTTGACCTTCCTCTTTTCCGTTTCCCTTCAGGATTCCAAGTTAGGGCTCGCCTCGTGATGTAGTTTGGTGATTTCCGTCAGTCAGTCAGCTACAACGTAGGACCAGGCACATATATGCATCGGTCCAAGTTGCCATACCTCGTTAGCACAACAAGAGGAACACCGGATTCATAGTAGTTAATCTAGTGTTGGTAGTAGTATATAAATTATAGGTTGTATATAAGGATATAGTACAGGAAGGAAGAGAGATATGAAGCAATTTTAGTCTCAAGGTTTAAGGGAAGATAAAGAGTGTATACACCTACGCCATTGTGACCGATTCTGAGCCATGTCACCTAGAGTCTCCAACCATTGGTTATGATAGTCACGCGGACCCCAACCAGGTAGTCTGCATCTGCCAACATGGCTCAGGCTAGAAGTTAGTGACTTCAAACACTGATGCCATGTTTTGGTTTGGCCGCCCCTAACTCTCTTCCAACCGTCCCCAATACTAGTCATCATAGCGCGTCGTGGTAATCGGTGTTCAGGCATACGTAACACATGGCCCAACCATCTCAGTCGATGAAGATTCATCACCTCATCAACTGATTTACCATCGTTCCCTAATACCCTGCGTCTAACCTCACTATTACTTACCTGGTTATCCCAGCAGATGCGAGCAATATTTCTAAGGCATCTGTGGTCAAATACTAGTAACCTACGAGTATCTTCTACTCTTAATGGCCATGTTTCACAGCCGTAAAGTAGGACAGAACGAACTGATGCGCAGTATACTCGTTCCTTAATTGATAGACGGATATCTTGTCTACGCCATAGGTGACGTAAGTTGGCAAAAGCCAAACGAGCTTTTTGAATCCGTGCTGAGATTTCGTCTGACACCAACCCATTAGGGCTGATCAGACTTCCAAGATAAGTGAAGTTGTCGACGCGTTCGACTACTTCACTCCCTATCCTGGTGATTTCCGTAATGTATGTCCTATAACACTTCCAACGCATTTTCCTATTCAGGTGGAAGCTGATTTTTCTCTTCCGCAGTAGGCTGTTGCTGATGGTATCCGACCAACGGACATTGAGTATCTTGCGTAGACAATTGTTTATCAATGCTTGTACATTTTTGATGATGGTTGCGGTAGTTCTCCACGTTGCAGCTCCGTACAGTAGAACTGTCTTGACTTTCGTATTGAAGATTTCGACTTTGATGTTGATTGACAGATGTTTTGAGTTCCATATGTTCTTCAACTGTAAGAATGCGACCCTTGTTTTGCCAATCCTTGCCTTTACGTCTACACCTGATCCTCTTTGTTCGTCGATTATGCTGACCAGATACGTGAAAGTTTCCACCTGTTCCAGGGCTTCTCCTTTAAGTGTGATTGGCTTGGTGTCCTCCGTGTTGTATTTAAGGATATTGCTTTTTCTCTTGTGTATGTTAAGGCCTACTGATGCAGAGGCTGCTGCTACACTGGCTGTCTTGGCATGCATTTGTTCGTGTATGCGGGATCGAAGAGCTAGGTCATCAGAACAACTCACTGAGTGTGTAGAGCATTTCCTTCTCTGTGACCGGAGTACAGCAGCATCTCTACCGTATCTAGCCTCTGCTATTCATTGGGTTTCGCTGATTCCGAGTATTGCCAAGTTGTATCTCCTCATTTCCGTTGCTATTTCACTGGTCTTCTCGATCTTCCACATTGTCCAGACGTTCCACGCACCTATAGAAATTGTTGCTCTGGTTGTTAGAAGGGGCACAGGTCTCGTGACATCCGAATAATTTTGGCTTCCATCATGAGGCGTCATAACTCTTCCTTTAACTCTGGTTGACGTTTTTTAGCAAGACTTCTTTTCTAGGTAATGGAGTTGCAGACCCTATGCCCAACCTTCCTCCTTTACCCGGTCTTGGGACCGGGAGTTACTCTAGAAGAGCTAGAGGCGGTCTTTTAGTGTTTGGTTTATAGAATCATAAAGCAAGAAAAGTAGAGTCACTCGATTTTGTTTTACTCCGTTGGTTTCTCGTCAGCTTTTTATCACCCATAATGTTTCGAGATCAAATTATCAAGTAGCAAAATTGGTTAGAACATAGTGCGGAAACATATTAGCATCACAAGGGGAGTTTTGTCCGTTTTTAACTGAGAATATAAGGAATCAGGAACAGTCAGATTGGGCTTCATTCAACTCTCAAACCTTAAATTAGTCGTATCCACTTTATTGATACCCCTGGTTTATTATCTTAAAACAGCTATGGGATTAAACTATCCCTCCGCCTCCGCCAGAGTATACGGCATCGCCTTCGGATGTTACATTTGTTATTTTTGACCTTAAAGATATCCATCCCATCAGTATACTTGGTATGGACGGATCTCAGTTAACAACCTATTCACGGTAAGATAGCTTGACTGAGTCTTTGATTTTGAGTATCCACCACAGCTCAAGGCAAACCAACATGACAAATCTGTCAACAACACACGCAAATAACATGAAATAAAGGAATTAAAAAACTCGCCAGAGTGAATAAAACGTCATGTATATCATGAAGCACATTAAATTAATATTCATCAGTAAGTCAGAATAAGTATTTAAATCTTGTCTCAGTTCTCGCATACTTGCCAAACAAGTATTCATTTTGAATTATAGTTACCTTTAATTTCCGCACAATGATTATAATTAATAATATCACATTTAGCAATCAGACTTATTAGTTGACAATAAAGACCTAATATTCAACTTACCGCGGTGCCCCGATTCATTGTTAGAATCAACTACGATTGAATGATATACATGACTGTCGGCATTGGACTCCATATTAGCGTATAAATGACTGTTGATTTGGACAAGACGCGGATTTTGAGGGTGTTGCGTTATACTATAATCCCCTTCACTTAGTCTGTGTGAGTTGGATCGATTAGGCAGAGGTGAAGGTTGTGTTCCATTAAAATCGAGTGAACCACCTTGTCCACTATCCGGATCGAATGTGCGAGACTATCAAACGAAAGAATAATGGACAAACAAATAAGATGGTCCAAATAAACTAAATATTTCCTCACTCATGATCATAACTCTCGTACATGCATTTTCAACTTCTTCAGGTTGGTTGGCACGATATACCTTTCAGGATAATAATTGGTATGCAAGATGCATTCCGTGGTTCTAGTAATGTGTGGAACACAGGTCAATAATTTAATGGGGTTTAGAAGGAATATTGATAACCAGTAAGCATCCTGAATCACTAGTATTTAATATAAAACCACAGTTAACAAAGGTTAATGGATACTGAATTTACATGAGTATATGAAAGTAATATTTTTCGAAAACCAACTTTAAGTATGGGGTCTCTGTGTCAATTACTGATTAAACCGAATTTACACATGCGAAAACTGTCAAAAACGGTGGGATTTATATCATTATTAGACAAGTTTGAATTATTCCGTTGTAGATATTTTAAACAGTATTTTGATCAGTCTTGGTTAAAATATGTGGATTCTGTAAGGATTACCTAACTCCGCCTGTAGCTCCTCTGGGGGTTGCTGCCGGTCCCAAGCATGGGGGTTAGCGACCCCATCCCGTAGAAAATCAACTCGCTAAAAAACGCTAACCAGAAAAAATCATTCAAACCATTTAAACTCTGCCCTTCGAGTTCAAGGAATAATTATGACGTCTCATGAAGAAAGCCGAGTTCATTCGGAAGTCATGAGGCTGATGCACCTTCTTACAACCAGAGCGACAATTTTTATAGGTACATGGAATGTCCGGACAATGTGGGAGACCGGAAGAGTCTTCCAAATTGCTGCAGAAATGAGAAAGTACAACCTGGAGGTGCTTGGAATCAGTGAAACGCATTGGACGCAGGTTGGACAACAACGACTGTCTTCAGGAGAACTTCTGTTATACTCCGGTCATGAAGAAGAAAATGCCCCACATACACAAGGAGTTGCATTGATGCTGTCCAGAAAAGCACAAAATGCACTTATAGGATGGGAATCTCATGGACCAAGGATCATCAAAGCCTCCTTCAAAACAAAGAGAGAGGGCATTACAATGAACGTCATCCAATGCTATGTGCCTACCAACGACTACGATGAAGACGCTAAAGACCAATTCTACGATAGGCTGCAGTCGATCTTCGAGAAGTGCCCAACCAAAGACCTGACCATTCTGATTGGAGATCTCAATGCCAAGGTTGGAAAGGACAACACTGGATACGAAGACGTCATGGGACAACATGGACTGGGAGAAAGAAACGAAAATGGTGAGATTTACAAACCTATGTGCCTTCAATAAACTGGTCGTAGGTGGCACCATATTTCCACACAAAAACATACACAAAGCCACTTGGATTTCACCGGATCACACTACACAGAATCAAATCGACCATATCTGCATCAACAAAAAGTTCAGGAGGACGATGGAGGATGTTAGAACCAGAAGAGGAGCTGATATAGCATCCGATCATCATTTGCTGGTCGCCAAGATGAAACTAAAACTCAAGAAGCACTGGACAACAGTGCGGACAACATCACAAAAGTTTAATACGGCCTTTCTTCGAGATGCTGACAAACTCAACAAATTCAAGATAACCCTCAGCAACAGGTTCCAGGCCTTTCATGATCTACTCAATGGAGAGGGAACTACCATGGAGAGCAACTGGAAAGGTATCAAGGAGGCAATCGTTCCAACATGTCAGGAGGTTCTGGGCCAAAAGAAGCACCATCACAAGGAATGGATCACTGTTGGTACACTGGATAAAATTGAAAAAAGAAGGAACAAGAAGGCAGCAATCAATATCAGACGAACAAGAGCGGAAAAAACCAAGGCACAAGCCGAATGCACAGAGGCAAACAAGCAAGTGAAGAGGAGCATCAGAACCGACAAACGTAAATATGTGGAAGATTTAGCGATGACAGCGGAAAAGGCTGCAAGAGAGGGAAACATGAGACAACTGTATGATACAACAAAGAAACTTGCTGGAAATTACCGTAAGCCAGAAAGACCAGTGAAAAGCAAGGAAGGCAAAGTAATCACCGACATTGAAGAACTGCGAAACAGGTGGGTAGAACAGTTCAAAGAACTGTTGAATCGACCAGCTCCACTGAACCCACCCAACATCGAAGCAGCACCCACAGACCTCCCAATCGATGTTGGCCCACCAACAATTGAAGAGATCAGCATGGCCATTAGACAAATCAAGAACGGCAAAGCAGCGGGACCAGACAACATCCCGGCAGAGGCACTGAAAGCAAATGTAGCAGCAACTGCCAAGATACTACACATCCTCTTCAGTAAGATTTGGGACGAAGAACAAGTACCAACAGACTGGAAAAAAGGATTTCCGATCAAGATACCAAAGAAAGGCGATCTCAGCAAGTGCGACAACTACAGGGGTATCACTCTCCTCTCAATACCAGGGAAAGTCTTTAACAGGTTGTTAATCAGAATGAAGGATTCCGTGGACGCCCAACTTCGAGATCAACAAGCTGGATTTCGTAAGGATAGATCGTGCACAGATCAAATCGCAACTCTACGTATCATTGTGGAACAATCAATCGAATGGAATTCATCACTCTACATCAACTTCATCGACTACGAGAAGGCATTTGATAGCGTGGACAGGACGACACTATGGAGGCTTCTTCGACACTACGGCGTGCCTGAGAAAATAGTCAATATCATACGGAACTCCTATGATGGACTAAACTGCCAAATCGTCCACGGAGGACAACTCACCGACTCGTTTGAAGTAAAGACTGGTGTTAGGCAAGGTTGCTTACTCTCACCCTTTCTCTTTCTCCTGGTCATCGACTGGATTATGAAGACGTCAACGACTGGAGGAAAGCACGGGCAGGATGCAACTTGATGATCTAGACTTCGCAGATGATCTGGCTCTTCTATCACAAACGCAACAACAAAAGCAGCAGCCTCAGCAGCAGTAGGTCTCAATATAAACAAAGGGAAAAGCAAGACTCTCCGATACAACACAATATGCACCAATCAAATTACACTTGACGGAGAAGCTTTGGAGGATGTGGAAACCTTTACATATCTGGGCAGCATCATTGATGAACACGGTGGATCAGATGCAGATGTGAGGGCGAGGATCGGCAAAGCAAGAGCAGCATACTTACAACTGAAAAACATCTGGAGCTCAAAACAATTGTCAACCAACACCAAGGTTAGAATTTTCAATACAAATGTCAAGACAGTTTTATTGTATGGGGCGGCGACGTGGAGAACTACGAAAGCCATTATCCAGAAGACACAAGTGTTTATTAACAGCTGTCTACGCAAGATACTTCGGATCCGATGGCCAGACACTGTCAGCAACAAGTTACTGTGGGAGACAACAAATCAGATTCCAGCGGAGGAAGAAATTAGGAGGAAGCGCTGGAAGTGGATAGGGCACACTTGGATGAAATCACTCGATTGCGTCACAAGACAAGCCCTCGCATGGAATCCTGAAGGTCAAAGGAGAAGAGGAAGACCAAAGAACACATTACGCCGAGAAATAGAGACAGACATGAGAAGAATGAACAAGAACTGGATAGAACTAGAAAAGAAGGCCCAAGACAGAGTGGGTTGGAGAATGCTGGTCGGCGGCCTATGTTCCATTGGGAGTAACAGGCGAAAGTAAGTAAGTAAGTAAGGATTACCTAGATATAGCCATTTTCACATGTTTTTTTATTGAATACATGGACTCAGTAGCTTAGTGTACAACGCGACAAGCGTTTGAAGAGAAGGGTACTGGGTTTGAGACGTGGTGTGGACATGAGAAAGAAACTACTGTGGAGGACAATTGAAAAGGGATCAAAGAAGCATTAACTTCAGCATGTCAGGAGGTGCTGGGCCACAACAAGCATCATCATAAGGAATGGATCTCTATCGAAAACCCGAACAAGATTCAAGAAAGGAAGAACAAGGAGACAGCAGTTAACAATTGTCGAATAGGAGCAGAGGAAGCCAAGGTACAAGCTGAATACACAGAAGCAAACAAGCAAGTGAAGAGGAGCATTAGAGCTGACAAGCAGAAATAATTGGAAGAGCTAGCAACGACAGTGGAAGAAGCTTCAAGAGAAGGAAATATGGGACAACCATATGATACAACGAAAAAACAAGCAGAGAAATATAGTAAACCAGAGAGACCGGTCAAGGACAAAAAGGGTAAGACAATCACTGAGATTCAAGAACAGAGGAATAGATGGATAGAACACTATGAAGAACTCTTGAACGGACCAGCTCCACTGAATCCACAGGATATCGAAGCAGCACACACAGACCTTCCTATTGCTGGCACTCCACCAACGACCGAAGAAATCAGGATGTCCATCAGACAAATCAAGAGTGAGAAAGCAGGAGGGCCTGATAATATACTAGCTGAAGCACTGAGGTCACACACAGAAGTAACTTCAAATATACTCCATGTTCTATTCAGAAAGAGCTGGGAAGGGGAACAATTGCCACAGACGGACTGGGAAGAAGGAAACCTCATCAAGATACCAAAGAAAGGAGATCTGAGCAAGTGTGAGAACTACAGAGGCATCACACTACTGTCAGTGCCAGGAAAAGTTTTTAAGTGTTGCTGAACCGGATAAAAGACTCGGTAGATGCCCAACTTTGAGATCAACAGGCTAGATTCCGTAGTGATCGGTCGTGCACAGACCAAATCGCCACACTGCCGATCATTGTTGAACAACCAACTGAATGGAATTCGTCACTATACATCAACTATCTTGACTACAAGGAAGCGTTCGACAACATGGATAAGAGGACCTCATGGGACCTTCTTCGACACTATGGTGTACCTAAGATAGTCAACATTATACGGAATTCATACGACGGACTACGCTGCAAAGTTTTGCGTGGAGGACAGCTGACAGACGCATTCAAAGTGAGGGCCAGAGTCATACAAGGCTGCTTACTCTCACCCTTTCTCTTTATTCCGGAAGTTGACTGGATTATGAAGACCTTGACATCTCAGGGAAATCATGGAAAACATTAGACAACTTGGATGCAACTAGACGATTTGGAATTCGTAGATGACCTAGCTCTTCGATCCCGCATACACGAACAAATGCATGCCAAGACAGCCAGTGTAGCAGCAGCCTCTGCATCAGTAGGCCTTAACATACACAAGAGAAAAAGCAATATCCTTAAATACAACACGGAGGACACCAAGCCAATCACACTTAAAGGAGAAGCCCTGGAACAGGTGGAAACTTTCACGTATCTGGTCAGCATAATCGACGAACAAAGAGGATCAGGTGTAGACGTAAAGGCAAGGATTGGCAAAACAAGGGTCGCATTCCTACAGTTGAAGAACATATGGAACTCAAAACATCTGTCAATCAACATCAAAGTCGAAATCTTCAATACGAACGTCAAGACAGTTCTACTGTACGGAGCTGCAACGTGGAGAACTACCGCAACCATCATCAAAAATGTACAAGCATTGATAAACAATTGTCTACGCAAGATACTCAATGTCCGTTGGTCGGATACCATCAGCAACAGCCTACTGCGGAAGAGAAAAATCAGCTTCCGCCTGAATAGGAAAATGCGTTGGAAGTGTTATAGGACATACATTACGGAAATCACCAAACTACATCACGAGGCGAGCCCTAACTTGGAATCCTGAAGGGAAACGGAAAAGAGGAAGGTCAAAGAATACATTGCTCCGGTAGTTGGAAGCAGACATGAAAAGGATGAATAACAACTGAGGAGGATTGTCTGAGACAAAGTTCGATGTAGAATCCTGGTGGTTGACCTATGTTCCTCCACAAGGGGTGACAGGTGTAAGAGGAATGTGGACTGGAATATAAGTATATCCAGATGGAAAGGCCAGAATAGTAGCAAATGCACATTTTGGATTTCACTACTGGCTGCAATGCATCTATTCAAGTTTATATTCTTAAAACCATTCACCCGAAGTTTGTAATTTATTGAAAACTAAAAAATCATTGGTTTAAAGCCGACTGTACACGTGCTTTAATTTCTCCAGGCACTTGACCATAGTTTGTCAGTAATTTGTCCGAACCTATTTCCATAAGTATTAGGGAAATTTCTTACTACTGTACGTTGGAAAATTACGGTAAATAGCTTGTTGGAAATACGTAAGTCTCTTTATAAATAAACGAAATGCGTTATTTATTTAAGGACCTACTCGGCTAAACACTACTTGTCAGTTTTAACAAAATTGAGTTCTAACATAATATCGCAGTTAAAATGAAACATACCGGTGAGTTATCGTTTGAAATTCCAGATACAGAGTGTTTGGGGGGGATATACACATGTCTCTGACCAGGACTATTACAGCTATCGGACAGATCACTGCTAGCGCTACCCACGCTGTTGGAACAACTATCACCCTAGGCAGAGTAAAATAATTAATTAATAAATACATTATAATACTATTCTACCTCCATATAAAACTCTAAAAACAACTTTAAATTCATGCGTCAATGAAATCCGGCCCAAAACTGTCTACTTTACTCATTTCGATGGATAACATTTAGAAAAATGTGTAGAGGTGGTGCAGATCTGTTATTTGAAAAGGTATTATCATTTTAGTGTGTGATTAGATAGATGCTACTTAATTCACATTCACCTACTATCAAAAATGCCAAGAGTGCAAGCATGGACTCTTAAAACGTTAAAATTAATCGAGTGGTTCGTGCATCTGGGTGACTATGTAAGTGATAGTGCTATGGACAAGATCAATAGTCATATAGTAGTGAAAGCCATGGTAATTTATACAGCTCTAGGGGGTTCACAACGCTAACGGGACTGTGTTATTTTATTTGGGTGCGAACACTGTAATAAAGACGCATCAAAATATATATGCACCACACAAAATGTTCGTCATTCTCCATGAACTCCCTATGGTAATATAATGAATTACAAATGTATGTCGTACACAATACCAGAATAAAAGCAACTTACTACAAGATATTCGACATCATCGTTTATCGAACTACTATCATGACTAGTTTCCTCATCAATACATCTATTAGAATCACGCTGCTGAGCTTGAAGAGATGCCTTTCGTAAGTCGTGCCGTCGCAAACTGCGCTCAGATCCACCAACATTTGATCCTTCGTAAGACTGCCTTAATATTCCAGAGACGAGATTTGGTTTGTAGGGATTTCTTGTGGAAGCCTCTAGGTCTGCATTAGAGTCATCATACACAAACCCAGTTTTCCTTGACGTTGGGCTCTCCTCACTGCTGTTGGGTACGACCGAGGATGGAGAATTATTTAAATCACTTTCATAAAGAATTTTCTTCCACTTTTGACTGATTTGATTTTCTTGGGCAGCTACGGCTGCTTTAGTTCGCTGAATTAACTCTGGAAGAATATGGGAAAAACGAAACACACTAGCCAAGAAGGGGTGTGTCATGGCTTGAGAACAAAATGGTCTTTCATTCATCTACAAAATAAAATAAGACACCGCATTTATTTTGACATCGAACATTACTAATGTGAGTTGAATGATGATGGTTATTTATTACTGTCAGTTTCTACCAACATTTTAACTATATGAAGAAAAAAATGATCTATTGAAGATCAGACTATAACTATCATGAGAACAAAACTGCACAAAACCTAATAATGGGAATCATAGAAAACTAGTGGAGCATACAAAATCAGTAAAAATATACACAAAATCATGTTAAGAAAAAGAATCGATGCTCAAATTTTAGTCACTTTCCACTTTGAGTCTAAATAAGATTCGGTGTCATGATGACACAAATCTAACTAAATGACCCTCATTGAGTTCGTTTTCGATTATTGGTGAAAAGACAAAGGCAGTACTCAAAATAGCTTGGCAGTTTTCTAAGGACAAATCCTTAGAAACGATTATTTAGGACCACTGACCCCAAACATGTTTTAGAAAATGTATTTGCTTTTTTAAAAAAAATCTACCCAACCGCTATTGTCAATTCTCATATACCAAATTTTTAGAACCTGACTCCATAAGATCTCGGTGATATCTTGAATGCAGTAGCGCAACGAACACTGTAAATATTCATACTTCATAAGCATGGGGCGAAAATAAACTAGAATGTGCAATTTTTGTATTAGAATAACGGCGATATGATATCAATCTGAGCTCCAACGACTGATCTGAAATATGTGCAGGATATTAAGTATTACTCATGAAAAGCAAAAGTATGGTTTTAACTAGTAAGATTCACGAGATCAAAAAGGAAAGAGGAACTCTTTTACACACAACGATATCAATACGAAAAGACAATATTGCAGGACCTACATCTTTTTGGAGAACGAACCGTACAAAATCCCGAAATTCATCAGACCAGCTACCTCCCACTAGTCGTGGGGCATCATTTGAAGCAATTTGATATAGTGCAGCCATTGGATTGGTAGCGCTGAAGTAAGGAGGCTCCAACTCAGCTAAGAACAAAGTAAGATTAGGAGTATGGAATAGAAACTTCATGAGTTATAAAACATATAGGACTCCGCATTCTCAATTTGTCAGCAATAGGGTTAGTAAAACAACCCACATTAAAAAAACTCAAACAGCTCGAGGAGTGAAATTATAACCGACATTCGAAAGACCCTACTTCAAAAATACGATCATGACTTTAACCTGTACTAAACATACTTTCATTAGTGATAAAAGTCAGTCATTTGCAACGTAGGGCCTAGTATATACATGGATTGGTTCAGGCTGACAACACAACACAACGCAGCGAGATGAAATTATTAGGAAAAACAAGAGACTAGGGATAGTATCAGTGGGCGAAGAAAGGACTCAAAAAAATGGATTAGCAGAATAAAAAGTAGCTAATTTTAAAATTAAAGACGTAAATGGAGAAAGAGAAAATATATCTGCGCCATTGACAGACTCTGAGTAATATCACACATCTTCAACCATTATTCACGGTAATCACGCGAGTCCCTATCAGATAGTTTGCACTTACCTACAGGAATAAATTCAACTGTCAGTGACTTCACTCATACTGCAGGTGATGGGAGTTCGTAAAACCCAGCCGACCATCCTGAATTCGTGTTGAGATTTCCTCTGAAACCAACCCCACCACAGCCGATGTCACTTCTGAGGTAAGTGAAGTGGTCGATGCAACCAACTATTTTACTTTTAATCATTGATCTACGCATAAACAAATTAATCCTGAAACATTTTGCACTTAGAAGGGCAACGCATCTCAAATGCGCTTATATTGCTAAGAAGATTAAAAGACTGTATGCTTTCAATGTCTTCGCAAAACAGAATCGTCATGTGTTCCAAATCAGTTAATGAAACTCATAACGGGTTCGATAACTACGACGAAAGGATAAAGTGAGGAGATGAACAACCTTGATGAAAATTTGTTACCAACTCTGATGACAATTCACCATAAGCTCAACTCGACCAGAAGTGTTCGAGCAGAGAGCCTTCACAAGTAAAATAACAAGTCTTACACTCACTACTTTATACCAGTAGCCATATTATTTGAACAACTTAATCACATCTTGGCTGGAGCTACAGGAAGGGGGAGCATACAAAGTCAACAGAAGAAAAATCGAATAATGGAATATCTGTTCAGAAGTGTTAAATGTTATCCGATCCATTCGGCTGTTCAGACAAATAAAATGCTTTGTCAGTGGGAAATTCTGTATAACACAGTAAAACTTTGTGTCAACCGTGCTAGCTTTCTAAGGTGGGTCAAATAAAATATGTATAACTTATGGTCATACAAAGTATAAACAACAAAAAGTAAAGTATGGGTGTAACTAGCTACATTGGGTGACAGCGCAATAGGATAAGAATCAAAGACACCACGGCAAAAGTAACATGATAAAGATGTGATCCCAGATAGCTTATCATAATTCCCAATTCAGCTCAACAGTGAGGTATTTTCGTCGTGACTACCCGGTTGAATCTCATCTTCCGAAATCCACGGAGTCCCATTATGTCGTAAAGGTCAGTAGGGGTACCATAAAAGCAGCAAACCTTAGACCCGATTGAATACAGATTACTGATTGTGACATGGTGCACTGGTGACGCTATCTTTTAAAAGACAGGAGCCGAGGTTGCAAACCATTAGTTCTAAGAATGAAACGCGTAAGTCCCCCAAGGATTCCTCATCAGTCAGTCAGCTACAACGTAGGACCAGGTACATATATGCATCGATCCAAGTTGTCATACCTCATTAACACAAGATGAACACTGAATTCATAGTGGTTAATTTAGTGGTGGTAATATATAAAAGAAAGATTGTATATAAGGATATAGTACAGGAAGAAAGACAGATATAGTCAGAGAAGTTAGAAAATTACTGAGTTAATAGTTCTAAAGCGTAAATAAATGGTCAAAAAGTTGGACAGACGGTTGCTCCTTGATGACTGATCACACTAATTAGTCGAAGAGACCAGCAACGTGAATCCAGTTTAATGTTTAGGTTCTGAGTTTGTAGATGAATATTACACTTCTGTTTCTTTCTGGTAAGTAGGACTTGTCTAGTATAGAACGAAATTTGATAATGTAAATACGTAGAGACAGTATCACTTTTTGCCCCAGATATTTAATTCGATAGGCTGAAAGACAAGAATGTTAAGGGCTATTTTAAAATAAACGAGTGATATAAAGGTTGAGTAAATGACATAGTAGTTGGGTCGTATAACAATAGGTCACAATTTTGTACGACAGTCACTATAATGCATAAAATTTTATGGTGAGCAGTAAAACTAACCCATTTCAATACATGTAATTCCTAAAGACCAAACATCCACTCGTACGTCATATATGCCTTGTTCCATAGCTAGAATGACTTCAGGAGCAATCCAAAATGGTGTTCCCACGAAACTATTGGCCGGACTCACAAAACTAGCTGATCCGAAATCACCAATCTTTACTCCACCAGAGTCTGTGAGCAAAATATTAGCTGCTTTTATGTCTCGATGAATTCTTTTCTCAGAATGCAAGTAGTCAAGACCAGTTAGTACTTCCTGAACGATACAGGCGATTTCATCCTCTCGAAGTGGTTTTTTGTGTACTATCAACAATTTTTGATTTGAGGTTATATAACTTACCTTCTAAAACATCTGCGACTGAGCCAATGCAGTATTCCATGACTAACTTTAAAAAGAAAATGTAGTAACATATAGCATGCATACCCATGGAGTTTGCTCTTTCATGAAGCATCCTTTAGGCAATACACAGTTTTTATGTGAGAGATGAGATAGAAATTTTATCTCTCTAACAATGTCATTCCACTCTTCTTCAGACTTCTTACGTTTAGTGTCAACTTTCAGCTCTTTGATAGCTACGACTTCACCTGTTGTACGATTCCGAGCCTATAGCAATCAAGGGTGGAAAATACACTTACATAGTAGACTGCTCCAAAGCTGCCACAACCAATTTGGCGAAAGTCAGTAAATACAGTCGTTGGATTTTCATGACTGAAATATTTTGACAGCTCAGGGTCTTTGAAAACAGTTGTTCTGAGAGACTTAGGCATTGAGTTCTCATTCGTTGAGAAAGTGGCAGTATTCTTGCCTGATGTCAGCCAAACTTCAGACCTTTAGTGACCCACCTTGGTGATGGAATGAAGGAAAAGCAAATACGAAGTTTATACTAATGTAAGAACCATAATGATTATTAAGATCCAGTTGATTTAGATGGACGTGTTTGGCGGGCGAATGAACAGACATTAGGGCTAAGGTTTGATGTCACAAAACACAGAAATGAAATGTGACTCATATACAGACTTGATTGCTCATTTTGTACACATTTTTTCGAGAAATCTTTTCCTTTCATCGCCTCATATTGCAGCCATTCTTCAACTTCGATCAGAATCGGAGGCTTCCCAGGCCTGTATTTTAAACTAAGTAGATTGACCTCCTTTCTCTAATACTGAAGACTAAATAGGTCGTTCTCCTCATGAATTTTATGCGCAAGTACTCGTAGTTTAGAAGATAAATTATATGAACTAAAAGTATTGTTGAACGAATTGAAACCACTAGTCGCAGCTGTGGCCGAAACTTAGTTATTCCATGACTTTGACGTCACTCCGGAATTATCCAAGTTCAATTGCTTAAAAAGTGATAGAAATTGATGCAGGGAACTGGTTGGGCCCCAATGTACACAACTAACAGCAAAAGAAACTATTCCTTTATTTGTGAATCTAATGATGGTGAGACGTGAGAAGTTACTGGCTGTATACTAACTTTTGAAGGTTACACAATTGTGCACAGTGTCACAGATCGTAACATAGTCTGCTGAATCTATGATTTCATTTCAGAGCACTAACAGCTATGAAGTAAAAGTTACACTTGTCTGATGTTAGATTTCAGTGAGCCTTATATATTTAAACGGATATGTCCGCCGAAGGGTCTGAAAATTCCCTCGATAATCGACTCCTGATGACCGCAATGGAGCATACTTTGGAACAGCATGTATCCGAACCCACAATTTTTGGTTCGAATCGAGGACTTGATAATCACTCATACAACAGTGATTATTAACTATCTCGATATTCTCCCACCATCGGCAATTAGCGAACACCCTGTTTTATCATGTGTTTAAAGCTAATAACAGTATTGTATTGCATTTGGTTTTGAGTAATTGTCTGTTGCAAAGCTGCCGTTATACCCGCTTCATCGAATATGGTATTAGATTACAGAACTAACGAAGTACCAGTAAACATAATGACATGTAATTCTAGGGACCGTTCATTTACGTTAGCAGAAAAATGTCTAGCGCTATTGGTCAAGCTTTCAGTTCTCGTAATATTTCGGTTGATATAGATGGACGGTTCAGATGGATGATACAGAACAAACTTTTCTTGTCTCAGGATGATTTCCAGAAGACAGTTAATGAATCTAAACGCGTAAGATGAGGAAGGCTCTACTGCTTTGTAAACTACGCACATTCACTGTATGCAGTAAGTGGAGAAATAGCAGACTATTGATAATGAATCCTCAGCACAGGCAAAAAAATCGGTTTCTTTAATGATGTGCAAGTCCGGGTTTCCACTTGACATAGATACGAACAAATAATAAATCGTATATTGTCGCGTACTTTCAATGCTACCGGGGATGTTCCCTGTCCAAAATTTATCTCACAGTTAGCGAATAGTGATCATGCTGTCTTGTAATTCATATTTAGGGCTTTTGACATGATATACGATCAGGTTAAATCTCTCACAAAGTTATGGAAAGGAAATTTAACAGCGATGAATTGGTGTGCTTTGACAGCGGACTGGTCAGTAAATACTAGCTCATCACTCGAAGAAGCGTGGTCAATATTAAAAGGTACATTAAGCTCAGTTACATCCTCATCTATACAGTGCTTAGCATCACATGAACCTAGTAACTGCCATCAATGGATAAATAAACAGGTAAAGAACTTCTTATACCTAGGAAAGACATCGGAATATGGTTTTCCCTACAGGCTCTGAACAATGTGGGTCCACACATTGTAGTGCTAGGAACACTTTCAAAGTGTTGATAATTAGAGCTGGATCTTGTATGAAATACAGTTGGTTAGGTATCATGAAAATAGTTCGGAAAGGTTTTCATCATGTATAAAGAGGTGGTCTCAAAGAAGTGATAGGATCCCATCACTTGTAGCACGAGCGGTCAGTTGACATCGCGTAGAATATGTGTTAGAGAAGCTGAAACTTTATCAGAATATTGTTGTAAGGAATTTTTTTACCTAACATAGTGGAATAACAACGAAAATTGAGATAATGTCAGTTTATGTTAGAACCTCTGGTCTTCGAGAAAGGAGGTATTTTACGATCACCTCAATTCATCAAACCAGATAAACCTACTGGTCCTGATGATATTTACTTTAAGATTCTAAACGTTGAGCCTTTGTCAAAGTTGTTTGATGCCTATGAGGTAGTCTTAACTGACAAGAGCCTGAAAGACACAATTATCAGTTCAATTTACTAAGTGGGTAGTATAGACTTAACTAGTAACCATCATCCCATTATTCTAAGCAGTAAGGTCTACAAACCATTTTAAAGAATTACTCAAATGGCTATTGTAAGCTATTTAGAAGTAAATTATATTTATCCAGGGAAAAATATAATTTCAAGAAAGACCTATCGTGTTTGACAAGATGATCTAATACTAGCTTACCGTAGTGAACTTGTATCTTGGTGTTACCCTTTCTTATCTCTCCCTTTCATTTAGGTTTGATCATCTGAGAGAACATTCCAAGAAAGCTCAAATAACGAGGTGAAATACTTCACGTTTGGATTTCCGTTTCTGGGATCGGGTAGAGAATTACTGCAAATCTTCACTAGAAAAAACTGTATCAACCCATTCTACAGATATGTTCGAAGGGAGATCAGATCCTCATTGTACTACAAATAACAAGGTCTAATGTGCATCAAGTGACCTCCTATCTTGCTACTGTTACGTTCACCATTCACTCAATGAGATAATTTAACAATATCATATAATCAGAATGTGTCCATAACGCACAAATCCTTTGAGCAGGTGCTGCGTTGCAATGAGTAGTTTTTTCAAACGGTGACGTACTATTACCATTAGGTCTTTATGTTCCTGTATTCACGGATGAGATGTACCATCGATGGTATACTGGTAACTGTTGCCGTGTCCGATGTGCATGAGCACACTCGTTCTACAATTAATTTCTAAGCTCCAACATCGAGACCATCTAACTGATTCTTCTAGGTGAGCCTGAAAATCAAAATGGTCAGCCTCACTTCTAATTGTCCTTCAGACTTTGAAATCATCCGCAAACAATGATGCCGACGACTTAAGCGATAACGATAATTCACCGATGTAGAGAAGGAAACGTAGGGGACATAAGATGGTGCCTTGGAGTATCCCACTTTTGACCGGCTTCCAATCAGATAGCGTTTTATTAACCCTCACTTTCTTTCTGAGGACACATTAGGAGGTCCATATCTATTCCTGTACACTACCTGTTATTCCGAAGTTTTTGAGTTTTTGCATAAGACCCAAGTGAGAAACCTTATCAAACGCTTTGCTAAAGTCAGTGAATATCACACGACAGACAGATTGTCGTCTAGGTCTACCGCCCAATCCTCTCTCGCAATAAGTAAGTTGTTTAGTCATGACTGCTTATTTTGAAACCTGTGTTACTCATATGTTAGCAGATTGTATAATCCCATTTGACTTAATAACTTAACCTGAATTATTTTTTTCAAGTAACGTAATTATTATGTCGGTTGGACTGACAAGTTGGTAGTTAGACACGGTCTGTCTCTGACCATTAAAGATATAGGACCATAGTATATTTTCGATCGCCGGGGCGTTGAGTTTGAAAAAAGACATGTTGAAAAGCATCGCGTGTGGTCTTGAAATAATGTCCGAGAGAAGCGACAGTAATCGTGGATGCAACCTGACAGAGCCCGATATCTTATTAGGTTTTTGGTTAGTGATCTAGTGCAGAACAGTTTCCTCAGTCATATGTACAGGTCCTATCGTCGGTGTCCCAGTGATGTGATTAGGACAAGTATTTTTAATAATACCCATAGAGTAGACTTCACAAAAATAGCTTGGTAAAGTCCTAGCTTTCGTCAGATCTGATTCAGCTGGTGCGTCTAAATTTTCGTGTAACAGTAATGGCGGAGTACAACCCCTACGCTTTGTTATTCATTTGACGTACGAAAACAATCGTTTCGGACAAGTACGGCTATCGTGTGCCAACATTCATTTCGTATTTTTCGGCAGTCACATTCGAATTATTCGTTTCCTGATGACATGAGTAAGTCCGAGACGCTTTTTTCTAGGCTTTAGAAGCTTATGGGTTTCCTTACCAACCAACAAAGGGCAATGTGACAGATTAGGTATTGAATATGAAACAAAAAGTAATGTTACGGACACGAACAATACTGTAAAATTATCCCATTCTTCGTCAACCGATCTGTATTAAGTTAGGTTGATTGCTTAAGATTTGACCGAATATATCTAGGTAAGTGTCACAACAATAATGTCCAAATATTCACTCACTTCCTTACTTTGTATAAGCATTATACTTCCCATTACTTTGTTTTAAATGTTGAAGGGACTGTTCACGGCAAAAATAAAGATTTATTCACTATTAATCTGGCTTTTTCTATTGGTAGAACTAGAGGTACAAACCGGCACAAAAGGTCCATCCGCATTGACTGACCTGTCTGTAGAGACAGTACAATGATCGGTTGCTGAAATATTAGATGGTCAGATATTCCGACAAGTTGCAGCAGATTCATACTGTAAACCACTTGTCCGAAAACTTAATTAAAGCACATCGTGATCATTATTTGCTAGCAAAAGAAGGTGCCGAATGTCGACGACATCGTTATAGTAGTGCAAAGACAATAACAATTCATGTTCCGAGTCAATATGTGTTGGTTTCGCAACACAATGTACAAGTGCACACCGGGTAATAGTTAACAGCAGGCTGCTGTTAAGAAACCTATCTGAAGTTGTAGGTTCTATCCATTTGATATGCGCTTTGTTGAAATCTGCAATCACAAAACAACATTTGACCATGCTCCGAGAACAGACGTGACCTAAGACAAAGTCATCAGCAAGACAACGTGGACTGAGGTATATTCCTGTTACGGTCACTAGCCCGTGTCTAGACTTAATTGTGCGACAAGCTACCTCAGATATATCACTATTATTCGCCACCGATGTGATCGATTGTACACGAACTTTATCTCTAACATATAGCATTATGGCTTCTTCTTTGTGATTTATAACCTTACAACTACTTACCTTACAAATTACTACTACCAATATCTAGTAGTGGAACGAACCACTGAAATTGCCTTCGATTTACATAAAACAGAAGACACCTTCTTGAAAACCTTTATTGAGCTTTATAAATAATGGTGGCACATAAGTGAGTGGCAAAAACCATGGTTTTTTAATTTGTTTTGTTCTACCATTTATGTAACTTTTGAAACGATTCTTTACTTGGCGGAATTTATGTATGATAAACGTTTATTCGCGCATTTGTTTTTAAAAGGTATGGAAAATAGCGACTCAGAATCTTCAGTTGATCGAAAGAGTCTCGCATCAGTTATAAACCTGTTCGAGCATTCTCACACGAGTTCAGTATCGGCCTCGAGCATGGATAGTGATGCGCAATATATAACTTCATCTGCTAACCAAAGCTTTAGAGGTGCTTCTACTTCAAATAAAGAGTCCGTTCAGTATGCAAATGAGTCAATATATTCTTTTTATCTTATTAGTCATTTTGTTCGCGAACACATTCCAAGCATTTCAGGAAGGACATCCACCCAGGACTTTAATGCGTACATCCTTGAATATATTAATTACAGGTGAGAAAGCACAAGTCTTTTACTCACAGATTTCGGCGCTTTAAGTATATTCGCTTTTTGGATAATTTTTTGGTGATTCGAAAACTTACCGCACACTCATCTTCCAATCCGTAGTTATTGCCCCTTAAAGTATAATTAAGTGTCAAATGTCCCAACTAGCTAAAATAAATTAGGTTGTTTGATCGGCTGTTAGAATAAATAATACATTAGGTGTGCACTGAAGATCTACAGTTTGTGAGTGTGATGGCCTTCCATCTTTCGGAAACATATCAACTAGTATATCCAGAGGAGATTTGGACTAACATCCAAGGTTTTGTGAAGAATATTGGGTTGATATTGAAGTTTAGTCCGTATTTGACTGGAAAATCTGATCATGCTGTAGATTTAAAACGTTTTATTTTAGCTTTTCTCTGTTTTTTTTTATCTCACCGAGTTGAGAATGTCATCTAAAGATAGAACAAGGGTGATAGTAACAACGTATTTTGACTATTCCTAAAACTTCATCAAACACCTCTAATGTTGCCGAACGTTTTGAAGTTTCATCTGCAACTAATTTTACTTTTTAGAAAACTTGCGTAGCTTCGTCGTCTTAAGACCTTAGCGTGACTTCAAATACTGTTTTTACTAAAGTTTTAAGTGTACTTTGTGGTGACTTAGAAGACTAAATGTTTTCAGCATCAGTAAGAAAACACTGTTGTTAGCACCGTGAACTCCCGTCTTAAATCTCATAGAAAACAAATTGTATATGGGCAAACACGGTGTTTTTGGGTGCATCAATGTGTTATGAGAATAATTGCACTTAAATAAAACTAATATAGATGTTTTTGCTGATCTTCAGTGTTTGGTTGCTTGGTGAGTTGAAATATTTCTTACACTGAGTATTTTTTTCAAGGTTGACAACCAAGTGATTGTGGGAGTCTACAAGCATCAAACTTGAATCACTTTGAAGAAAGAAATTTGTATTTTCTTTGTTATAAATAATTCATGAACTGCATCACCCACTGAGTTTTATTTTCACACAGAGTATGTTATTTGATATCTTAGTGTAGTGGTTTAGATCTGAGTTGAATGTGTTTTAGATAAGGTAGTGAAAAGACGAAGTTTTCCAGGACTGTGTTACCTATAGTTGCATTACTTGTCAAAAGCTTCGATCATACATTGACTCGTTTAGATATACATATAAAAAATAAAGATCAAGAGAGACATATGTGAACGAAATAAGGTAAAGATAAGCAGGAAGAAAAGTTATTCTGTTCCATTTTCAGCCTCACTTGCTTACAAATCATAAAAGAGTAGTGTGAAAAACATTTTGCGGAAGAAATGTAGTGGATCTCAAAATATTAAAGCTTTCAATTTAGTTTGTGATTTTTCACTTTGAATCAACGCTTTGTTAAGTAGATTCACTTCTTCAGACAATTTTGCTAGTGTAGATACAGTTAACTGTATTGAACAACATTTTATAATACCTATGGAAACTAAGATTATTCTTTGCTCGTATAAGCCTTCTCTAGACAAATCGTTTGGTTCAACCACCTTCTCCCTAAATTATAAGTAGATATGGAAGGGAAAGCTGATTAATTGTTTGCAGTGAACAAAAAGCTAATATGATTTCAAAGTGTCGAGTTTTCGTAGTAAAAAATCTGAACTTTCAGTTTTGTTTCATACAACTACGTTACCATTCAATTACTGGTTACAAAGACGTAAATTTTCTGCTGAAAGCGGATAAATATTAGATATATGGCATTGAGATGTCGTCTAGTAATGATCTTAGAGGACTACGTCTTCAAACGATATTAATTTGTTTGATGGGACCAACCTCAAATAATAACGGAATCTTATCAGGGTGTGATAATAAACCTTCAAGGGTTTCGACGATTTATGAAATAAACATATCCACGTGAAAAATCAATAGTCTTTCTCAGGAATTTACCTACAAACAAGGAGTTCACATCAAAACATTACGTTATATTTTCGTTGCTATTAATATCACGAGCAAAATTAATTGAGTTGAATGACTCCTTTAAAGTATGCTTACACAAATATATTTAAATATGGTTCAGTATTTTTGTCAATCAGTCTGGGAAATTATTTGAGTTTCATCAATAAATGGGTAAAATTAGACACAAAGGATTATTAATTTTGAAAAGTCTAGGCAATTCATGCGAAAAAGTTCACCAAGATTTCACAGGTTTCCAAAAGTTACATTTTTTTATTGGTAGTGTTCATGCTGATCTGTTCTGGCACAACTAAATCAGTAGTTTTTGCTGATTATCTTTGGTTTATGAAAAAAACTTTGTAGACCTTGGATTTTCATACATAAGCTGATTTAAACGGTAAATGTGTAAACACGATATTTGAAATGCAAAAAAGGATGTACACATGCTTCGTATAGAATTGATTGTCGAGGGAACTTAATTATTCAGACCTATTTATAGTCCAAAAATAGACATTTACAAAACTCTGTTGAACTGTTTCGTTAACAAAATCGGCTCAGTTGGATTAAAACCAGACTATAAAACCAAGTTCCTGTCGTTCAAATATTTTTTGTTTGATTGTACATGATTGACTTCTATTTAGGTATCTAATCCCACCTGTTGATGGAACAGGTAAACATGTTTCCATCAATGAATAAGTGCTTTGTTGTGATGATAGCTAAATTTTTCATTCCATTGTGTAAAGGTTTGTTTCACTTAGTTTTGAAGAATTATAGGGGCACTTTTAACCACAATAAACTTAAATCGTCGCATCCTGTACCATACGATCATTTTTTAGTTTATTATCAGTCTACTCTGGTCCTCATTTGACAAATATCAATCACCAATGGGTTACTTTAAATTGCCTGTCAAGTAACTAAGGATTTATGCTTCTGTTGTTTAAGACGGAAATCACCGTTAATTATTTATTTGAAGGTCTCATTGCTCAATAAAAACTTTACAAACCAAAAATACACAAAAAATGCACGCAGAAGACTTGTTTTCAAATCATGCAGAAAGTGAGAGGGGAATGGCTAAACAAAAAGTTCTCCATCATCTGAGTATAATAAACGAATAAACAGAATAATTGTTTTCAACACAATCCCACTTTTCTTTCTGCTAAAATGTATTGAATCGGCAATTTATTATAAAGCTACGCTAAGTGTAAACCAAAATTGGGCACTTGTATTAGTATAATGATTAGCTGTCACAAAATGGAGATCAAACTATTAATTCCTTAGCTAGTACGTTGAAGCCTTTTGACACTAAGGATACATGAAAAGAAGGATTACTGTAACAGATTGTATACGTACAGTGGCTAAGTATTCGCTTGACTAACTAAACTTTACAAGATGTTTAGAATTTTTATCTTTAAGTGTTGTTTAAGCTGAGAACGGTTGAAGTATGGACAATCGTTTTTCTTTGATGTGCATATAATAACAACAACAGTGTTCAAATGACAATCCTTGGTAATTTTTTATTTAGGAAACCTACATTCTGTGACTACAAATTTCACGAAGGTTCACTTGTCAATTACGATATTACATTTAGAAAAGGTTAAATATTGTAATTAGGGTAATACAACATTTCCAGAGGAATACAAGATTGTCAGAATCAGTTCGCAAATCCCATATGTTTATTTAGTGAGCTATTTATTGATGGCACGTCTTATACAGCCATGTTTTTAAGCTTTCGTTTTGCTCAATGAGTACTAAAATACGTCTTTCTATTCGTACGTTACGGTTAATTAGCTATAAATCTGTCATTTAGTTTTGTATTACAGATATTATAGTTGTAATTAAGTCGAAATCATTTATTGAGGGGGCATTCTGGTCTTACATCTTATGTAATAATGATGAGAGCAAAACAGTATTTGACTGACTTTTGAAGTCTTATGACTGGTGGTTTAAAAATCGGTGAATTGTACATAAGCGACCAACCGTTGATAATACAAGAGTTTGTGTGCTTAAGTGGAAATTAACAGCAGAAACCATTACGTTACTGGCGTTCATAAACTATTTGATTATAAGTTAAATTATTTCAACAGATAGAAGAAAAAGATAATGAGCTGATAGGAGTAAACGATTTTCATACTACTGGTGATAACAATGCGAAATCAACTACTTAAAATTCTTCAACTAAACATATTTTCCTGCCCTCGGTTTCCAAAAGTACATTTGGCAGGTTTTATGGATCTTTTGTTAGTTTTTCATGAATTTAACAATAAACACTATGTTTCTGCACAATACTAGTAGCTGAGCGTCATTTAAAAGTCAGACGAACTGACCGAAATTTGAGAGAAGCAAGTTATTATTGGAACGACGTCAGTTAAAGTCCGTTCATTTTCACTGAATAGGGTCTAATCTAGTGATGGCGTTCACAGCTATACTAGGGGAAGTAGACATGAAATTTCATATAATCCCACGTTCATAAATCAACAGTTTTTATCATTCATTTGGATGATTTTTTCTTCACTATACTATAATGTGATATTATTACGAACAATTTCACACTTCGTTCACTTTAATGCACTAAATTTATTGATATCTGTACCATTCTTTTGTTTCACAAAATGTAGTTTGTACACACCAGAATTAATCTAAGCATCGTTAGAAGCCAATATGAAATAGTGTGATCTTAGTTTTAGATTAATTCAATAAGTTCAGACTCAACTTATTTAGCTAACTATATCAAGCATTTCAGTGTCTATTAGCCAAACATTCTACAAGCTTTACTCTTTTTATATCTGAATCCACCAAAAAGTAGTTGGATATTGTCATTCTATTTGTAAGCAAAGCGTTACAACTAGTTGTGTACCCTAGTTATAATTTACTTTTTGAGTTTTGATCTTCTATTTTGATAAAAATATCTACTTTAGCAAAACTTACAATCAATCAAAAAATGTTTCTCGAATAAGTTAAAAGTTTAATAACCATGTTTAACTTCTTAAATTATGTGTGGAGTATTCCTACAACAAAATATACTCATTTTTATGGTATAACTAAACCATTACAATTACAAAATCAACTTTTGTTAAAGCTCAGAGTCATGATGAATACAACTTTTATAACAAAACTGGACCGCATAATTTGCAATGTATAATATTAAACAAAATGTGAAAATGAATTCAGGAAGTTATTTTATGACACCGGAAACTTTTACCTTTCTTCGTATTACCATATGAATACCTATCATATTTTTAAATATTGCTTCCAATTTTAATTTTCAGCAAGCAATCAAAAAGTGTCCAAGAAGCATACAAGTTGGAAGAGCGCTTTTCTTCTAGTCAAAAATCATCTGCTGATTTAAATATTTATTCTAATCCATCAACTGCGCTTCCTGTTGATGTTTTAAAAAATTTGCATTTACCACAGTACAGACCAGTACCTGCGCATAAGCTAGGCATTATGTCAGAGGACTTAAGCTCAGCATTTCCAATTTTAAACTTTACATCAAAACAACAACCTGAAAATTCAGTTCAGCAGGTACCATTACTAGAACCATTATCATCATCTCCCTTAAAGGTCACATCAGTAATATTGCCAACAACGATAAACACATCACTGGAAAACCAATCGGTTGGGCTAGCAAATAAATGTGATAATTCTCTAACGCAGTCATATGATAAGATACCTATGCGACTAATTTTAACTGATGGGAATCAAAATTATTCTGCATATAACTCAAGGATATATGATTATAATAAACATTTTCATGAACATACAAATTCTTTAACAGATCGAAATATAAATAACTCAGAACAGTCAACCGGAACTAAGTTTCCTCATCCTGGAGGTGATTCAGGGAAGTTCTATCAATTATCCTTGTTTTGTTGCCATATTTACTACAGTATAGACTATACAAAACACTCAAAGAGCTAGTTACTTATTGATTTGATATTATATTATCTGTCATTATGGATGATGACTAGATCGGAAATAAATTACATTGTCGTTCTCGTAGGTCGCTCCTATATTATGTTGGTATTTCACATTATGCACCCTTACATAATAAATCATGGGTAATTGTTTCAGACACTAGGTATTACGTGTGTTGATGCCGACAATAACACCATATAGGAAACAATCGACGAAAATAAACTCGCATAGTTGTTTCTTATTGTATATTTGCCAGTAAAAAATTTATGCGAAAAATGTCAATGTACTTCCAGAATGTTGTGTGTGGTCACTTGAGTAACAAAGAACTGTCAAACTAAAAAGGTGGAGTTAGCGGATGAACTGCTTTCAGAAACTGTATCTTTCAGCTAATATTTCAAAAATATAACTTTAAGAGTACACCCTTCTAATTTTGTACGTAACTTAATGATGTAGAAGTAAAAGTTGTTTAAGTTGATATGTTTTTGCAATCTACTCATAGCGTTTATCCATATGCTTAAAACTAAAGATCAAAGAAGGTCTGTTATTAAATTAACCACTATCGTGTGATGACTCACAGATTGAAACCATTCGTATATGTTTTGCAAGCATTTATATAGTTTTAAGATAGCTTTTTTCATGAAATGATGTCAGTAGAGAATAAAGATCCCGGTCCTATTCCACGTGAAGCTGTCGATACGCACTGCTGAAGAGTCGCAAGTTGAAAGGAAGTAGCATTCTGCTGCCTTCTGTATTTTCTAGGTTCTTCATTCTGTTTCACCTTTAATTACAAATGTTATGAAATACCAGTTCTTTAAAAGTACATTTCATATTAAACGACTCTAAGAAACACAGTTTTTATACAAGAGACTTGGGATCACTCCCTCCTATGTCTTAAAATATGGGTTCTTGTTACAAAATTGACATAGACTGGGTGATGAAAATAATCAGACAACAGGTAAAGATTAAACAACAAAAGAACAAACAAGATAAAAAAAACAGTGTTTAGACGATATAACTTGAATGACCTGATCCACAATGACGATAAGGAACAAAAGGGTCCAACGGGTCATTTGGTGAGTGTAGATTTTGTTCAATCTATAGAGGCCAAAAAATACTTCAGTTATATTCATTTTTTTAAACTGCCTGAATATAATGCCTTATAAGTATTGGTATTTTCAAGAAATTTGGTTCAAACGTTTGGTCCATCGATATGCAAACCTATGTAATCATGAAGTAACTGAATACTTTTTATGGCTACTATGTTCATTAGTTCAGGGCAAATCTATGAATCTTTATTTACAGCCTTATCTACAAGTTTCATAAACAGCATCCTTTGATTTCTTTAAAATATCATTCAAAATGTAACGTTTGTGTAAAGATTCTGTAGTCTCTGCTTGAGTAATCAGACAGTGAGCGAATATTATGATACCACGTTCATTGATTAATTTAACCACTTCTTAAACCACACAGACAATTTATGAAATCCTAGTTCTTGAAATGTTGAATGAATGATAGAAAAATTAAACAAAGGAGAATATTAAAACGTCTAGTTGTAATAGTATTCTTTTTACTACTTGTATGCTGAAGTTGTTTAAACAACAAAGTGTGAACATGTTATATACTGATATTAATTTATCGGTTATTATTACGTAATTCCTAATTGCTAAGTTTAAGTGTTTTGCGACAAAAAACCTTTAGGCGTTAGGTTTGCGTCGGTTTTGAAGAAGTGTCCAATACGTTAAAAATCTTTGGAACCATTTTAAAATAAACTATATCCATATTGGTGACCAATCAAGCCATAATTACTTACTTTATATGTGAATTAACAAACGTTCTTACTAACTAATTGTTTTATGACTAAGACGCATTTTATTTTGAATGATTTGGCTCTGTGCACTATGTATCTACTAAGGCTAGAGACCCAATACGGTCACACTCAGTGGTTTATAAACATGTTTATAAGCATGAGCAACCTTAATTTAGTAAAGTGTAAAAAGAAGAATAACTACCAATACCTCCACTCTAATCCTTAAAATTTATGCAAGCTAAGTATGTAGGGAATGAAAAGAGTTGATAATTTTAATTTGATTTTGGAGTCAATCTATATTGACAGATACAGAGTTCTAATTCTCTTCTGTTAATTTAATTGGAATTTGTGTATTATCAGAATTCGGAATTTTGTCATCATATAATTATTTAAAGCATTAAATCTAATACATTGGTAGATAACAATAAAACAGTAGATTCAGAAATTTATTTAAAGGATAATGGGGAGTCTGTGTATATTTTGTGAGTATTATATGCTTCAATAGTTTAGTTACAACTTCGAAAAATTTAGCCCTTTTTATAAAGTGAAAAATATGCAAAATGCCTCAGGGTTATTTATTTGTTACCATTTTCTGTATGAGTTCAAGCAATAAAAAATTTTTATACAAGCATCATCTAGTTGACTTTTCAAATAGTTGATATATACTAGTCTGAGGATTAAGTCTTTCTCCGAAACTTTTCTCATCGTAAAAGTGAGAACTAATTAAGAAGAAAACAGTGTAATAACAAAAAGAGAACACGAATAACCTGCTCGTTTTCAATGGTTTTAATGTGAGTCGAAAGGATTACGTTTGTTTTTATTTGATGTAAGGATAATTTTAAATATATATTTTTTGGATAGCTGAGTAAATAAAATGTTTTATGTTCTTATTTTGATTGTTGAAACTGAGAAATTTCGAAAAAACTTAATAATTCTAATAGGAATTCTGTCGCATTTTTAAAGATAGATATTGCTAATTACTGATAGGTAGAAATATGTTCTTAAGATTTACTACCCAAATTAAGATAATAGGTCACATACATAAAAAATATAAGATGGATTATCAAAAAAGTATTCACTTTAAGAAAATGAATAAATAAAACAACCTTTAAAAACTATTTTACAGATAGAAAAAACTGTACAACTGTCGCCAAGTACGTAACTGATGAGAGGTAAGGTATGTTATGTAACCGGGACTTTAACAATTATTGACTAAATAGTATTCAGACTATTTGAAAACGATAATTTATCGCCAGATAAAAATCAACATACACTCATTAATGAGCTCTGTCGGGTGCAACACGAAACGTACACAGAATTCTAGATCAATACCGGATAAAGTTTTCTTCAATAAAGCTGACGCGCATCAAAATACATTAGTTTGAGTAAAAGACAAATTCCACCTACATTTTATCAATGAATATGTTATCTCTCGCTTTGAAACAGATTTGTTGCTCTACAGAGCAATTGTTATTCATGCCTAAAAGACATTTGAATTACTCAAAAGATGAACTGATAATTCTTCAAAATATAAAAGTCTAGAAATTATGATTACCAATAACTGGGCTGGTTATACATTTGCGAAACCTAGTGCACTAAACAAATCTTTGATCCTACTATTCAACAAAATTGTTAATGGAGTCAAACCAGAACTAAATTACAAAGGGAAATACATATAGAATTTCTCAGTAGCACTGCAAATCTCGTAATCAGACCCATTCACAAAGTAATACACAAAACTTTGTGCATCAAAAAATATTGTATCCGATAAACTTATGAGTAGTATCCTTATACATGTTTGTCATAGGCGACTCTCTATTCCGTCCTTGTACTAACTCATAAACCCTATTTATTCAATGAATAAGCAACAACCAAATAGTTGCGCAATGTCAGAAATATATTTTCCCACTCATTGAGTCATTACAGTTATTTCATTAACATTTGAACGCACAGATGTTTATCGTATAATGAACGAACAGAAAATACACCCTTTTCATGCAGGTATTACACCTTGAGGACCATCCATAGGAAACAACATAATTCTATTTCATCAGACGATCACTGATCTGTTCAAGTAGTTGATTATAATCAGAGGTAAATTTGGAATTATGGCTAAGTCAGCTGAATGTTTGTTCACTCATTTATTTCCTTGAATTCGAAATACAGTTCAAATTAGTCTGTAAACATAAACTGACGTCACTACTAGCGTCATGTACATAGGACTTTGTATATGGAGGATTTTCGTTTTTAAATTTCTATGTTGAGACGTATCTGAATGCATCGTTCTACTTTGGAAAATTGACTCTCGACACAGTTGACTTTGATGCATATATTGCTATCAAATATTTCTAAAGAATTCGTCGTTTTCATAACTGTAACTATTGTTAGGTTACCAGAAGAGTGTATAATCAATTATAAATTAGTGAGAGTAATTACTTTATTTTCTTATGTGAAAACATGCAAACAACTTCTATTTCTGGCTTGTATTTAGAAGATTTAAAAGTCTTTGTTTCTTTTCGTTCGTGACTATGAACATAACATAAAAGCAAAATTGATTTTTGCTTTGGTAGATATCACTAGTGAAATCAATAAGCTAACCAAATGAACAAATCATGTTTTCAAGAATGCAGAATAAAAAGAAATACGAAGTAATTCAGAAATTGAAGATGGTGCTAGGAAGTCTTAATCATTACTTCAGCCACATTCAAAGCTGTAATCTGTTCATGCCACAGCTACCATAAGATTAAGATGGAAAAGAGAGTTTCATTCGTGTACTTTTAACTACCAGATTTGCAAATTTTTGCCCTTGGTATATATTTAGCTTCGGTTAAATTGTTGCGTCCAGAAATATAGGCGATAAATTTTCATCACTGAAAAATAAATTTTGAAAGTCTTCATTATTACTTAAACGGTGACGGATTATTTAATGACACAAGGATAAACAATGAAAATAAAAAATAACCGGTGAGGTCATTTTGTTTTCCATTAACTAAATTATGAAATAATTCCCATCCTCGTAAGCAAGATGAGATTTGTAGGAAAAAAATGAAGAAAACTCAATGATCAATGGGTGTAATATTACAATGTCTGGGACATGTATTGTATATATTGGGTATTAGAATTTTTCACTATCTATACCCTTGAGTAATTAACTACATTACATTTAGACTTATGAATTAAAAATATAAATTATTGACCAAACCTTGATTTAACTATTAAATTTCAACTCTCATTATCCATTTTATCATGTCTGATGGAATCGTTAATTCTTTTTCTTTGTATTCTATGTTACTAAATGTCTTACATAAACTTTCATTTGTTGAAAGTCTTTTTCGATTATTTAAAGCCATTAGTCCCTTTTATAAATTTCGATCATTTATCAATGACAACTCTTGAGATAAAAATTACAACTCACCTACTGTTTATAATCGGTTCTCCAAGGTCAGTTAGATATGCAGTTCGTAATTGTGTTTTTCAGCTATGATATATGTTTGGGGAAAACGATTCTACATTTTAATGAAAATTAATAATGAGAGAGACTAAGCCTATTTTTCTTGTTATCATATTACTAAAGGTTATTTACTGTCAAACATCTAAGAGAATTTAATAAAATTAACATTGAATGTTTGAGTGAAAGTGAGTCAAATTATTATTTATAATATTTATGTGTTTATGCACTTTATGCTTCAGTGAAAGTCAGATTGAAAACTTTATTCCCTTAGAGTCTAACTAACTAAAACATTTCATGACTTCCTTCAGATATCGATCTAATTGAGACAAAAATCAAAGTGTCAACCAATCCATTAACATCCATTTAGTGAATTCCCTTATCTGATGAATGTATCAAGCTTTCGTTCACTATACTTTGTAAATTAATTTGTATTTCTTGTATGGTTGAATTTATCCACAAAAATGAAAGCTGAGTTATTGTCCAATAAAATTCCAAATAAAATTACGAAAAAAATTATCGATAAAACAAAACTCTTTAAGAGACTACAATAAAATAAGTAGGCGATATAGGTTGCCAAAATGGCTATTAACGATGACTAATAATCAGCTGAATGCATTTTAACTTTAAGTATTTGGTTTTTGACTATTCACTGGATATATATTAAAGGCCCTTTTTACATTATTTTCATGGGGAAAACTGCTTCTTAAACTTTTTCCTTATTTACAATCAAATAGTTCTAATTGTATATAAGTTTTTAAGTTCATACAGTCAGTTTCTATCAGTTATGAAACTCATTTGGCTTTGGGTAAACATTTTAAAACTGTTTTGTTTTATTTTACTAACTTCTCTCAAATCCTCTTCAACTTCTCATTGTGCTGAATCGTACATTTTCTCTTATTTTAGAAAACGATCTAATCTGATTATTCTACCTTCAGTGTTTGAATAGTTCTTGTATTATATAAAATTCATTTAATTTTATTATAACATTATTTATCTCGCTTGTTTATACATGAACACACGACTAAAATATCAATCTCAGGGAACTAAACAATACCAGAATCTATGAATAATATCTTGCTTGTCAATCCATAAATCACAAAACCAGATGTATATTTATGTATACGTATAATATATATGGATGCGCACTGCTGAGGAGCCCCATAATAGGACAAAACGGCCGTCCATTGCTTCCAGGTTTTCCATGGTGGTCTAGCTTTAGTTAACTCATGATTTCAACTATGAAAATACTGAAATCTTCAGAAAACCCCTCCTGATAATATGCATTTCGTTGATTGTCGATTTTTTATCGTTATCAGTTTTCTAACATCCCCGTAGAATTTATCGTCCTATTTATGGTTCACGTTATATGTCTGCCATTATCTTTTTGGATACATTCAAATTCTTTGTATTGACTATCTAAAAATAGTAATATTTCTACAGCTGTGATGAAAATTGTCAGTATTATTGTTAGTGAATACGTTATCAATGATAAATTAGTGAACGTATAGAAAAGTATCAATAAGAAGGTAAGAGTAATTTTCAAGAGTCTTAACAAAAATAAGTTAGTTTGGAGATGAAACTGATAAACTGATTTATTCTAATCTTTGATGAAACTTCTATATTTGTTGAAATTTACCTCTTTTCCAAATAGTTTATTTTTGTCAGAAAAATAAAAAGGTATATTAAATTGTTTACTCATCATTCTGATTACGATTATGACACCGTAAGTCGATGAATATATATATTGAAGTTCGACAAAACTATTTTTCTTTTCGCCAATAAGTTGCTCTATGTATGACTGAAGGTGATTCTTGTCTAATGATATTTTATACAACATACTTATAAATAAAAAGTGAGATAAACATTCATAAGCCTACATATTCCATCCCTTTATCCATCATATTTGTGTTCCAGTCTGTTTTAAATGGTAATCATCTGCCATGTTATTTTTTCAATTTTTTCATACTATTATATGTAGTGTCTGGCAACCGGTTTGATGATTTTCTACTACTACTCCTACTGTTTTGTAAACAGAAGTTTTGGCTTATATTCCTTCCAATTTTTTTCTTGTACTCATCATATTTTATTAACCTTCTTTGTTTTATTACGCCAATACGGACAGTGATGATTATATCACTTTCGTCTAGAAACAACACACGTGTATTTTTTTGAAATCAGAAATAATAAACCAAAGAAAACTTGGGCGACGTATCTTGTAGGCTAAAATGAATATGTGCTTGTCACTGTTTGTTCATGCGTGTATGTAATTATTAGGCAGATGATGTAAGACAAATGAAAGTACAAAACTGAGAAAAGAACTAGAGAAATAAAAGGAATAAGTAACAAATGATAATAATATGATCAACAAGCTTAGTATACACCAAATGTTTGGGCAACCGACTAAGTATATACTCATACTATCATAACAAGTATATCTTATAATTCATCAACTCCTCCTGTAATTCATTCACATATGACATTATTATTGAGGTAGGTGGATAAAAAACTACCTTGATAAGAGAAACGTCGTACGTTTGTAGACTTACAGTTTCTGTTTTATTTTACATATTCAACTTGACTTAATAATTAAAT